AATTTAAACAAACTAAGTACATTGTTATGATAAGCAAGGATGCCTCTTCCAAAATTGTGAAATTCTTGGTGCCAGGGACAGGGGTTCTGGTGCTAGGGCGGGGCTATATAGATCATATAGTGAAGGTGAATTATTTCTTTGAAAATCTTCTTCTCTGCCCCTGGGCATTATTTAAACAAACTAAGTACATTGTTATGATAAGCAAGGATGCCTCTTCCAAAATTTTGAATTTCATGACCCCAGGGTCAAGGGTTCTGGTGAAAAGGGATGGGTGGCTCTATTAATTATACAGTGAAAAAGCAAAATTTCTTTGAAAATATTCTTTTCTGCTTCTGGTTAAAAAGCAAAGAAGCTAAGTGTATAGTTATGATGAGCAAGAGTGCTTCTTCCAGAGTAGTAAATTCCATGACCCATGGGTCAGATGTGCTGGTGTAAGGGTGGGGCTCTTGATAATATAGTGAAAATGTATTAATTCTATTAAATAATCCTGTCTGCTCCTTAGTGTTAAGCAGATAAACTTACTCATGATGAGCAAACTTCTGGTCCCAGGGTCAGAGGCTCTGGTGTTTCTCGGTGTGGAAGAGGGGGGGGGGGGTGTTATTGATAATATAGTGAATCTGTAGTAAAAATGCATTATTTCTTTGAAAATCTTCTCTGCTCCTGGGCATATTGGAGGCAGAGTAAAAGTTTTAATAAGGAAGGGTATTTCTACAAGATTTTGAACATCTGGACCATTTGGTCAAGTGTTCTTGTTCTGGCCAGGGATCTATTTATTTGTATTCTACTGAGAGGAGTTATTCCTCTGCCATTTACTTTTGATAATTAATCACCGTAAATAATGTACTTGAAAGGTTAATAGTATAAGAGAATTATACAAGAAATTTTATTGTATAATACAAAAAGTACTCTCATAGTTTTAATGATCAGGTAGACTTGTAAGTAATAGATAAATAAAAATGAGACAAAAATAAGTTGTCTTATTAAATGTTCATCAAAGACCAAAAGAGGCCAATGTAAAAGATTTCAACAAGGAATTAAGATAGTACAGAAGCACTTATAGTTTGTTAATATACTGTATGGAGATAGTGATAAATGGGGAACAGATTAGAACCTAATTTATGAGCAGCTAATGAATACTAGACTAATTATTTTGTTAATCCTGATCACCCTATTTTTCTTGCTTTGGGCAACAAAGATTCACCTTTCAGTTCATTTTATACTCTATAATGGATCCTCAAAATTGTTGTATTATACTCAGGTGACTGTTAAGGCCCTTGGGCCTCTTGTTTAAAAATTGATCTTTAAATTATATTTAAACAGCCTACCAGACATGGAACAATTCATGATTAACAGACTGAGAGGACGACCCCCGGAGTATTATGAGAGGAATTTCGTTGCTGAGTATGAAGGAGAAAGGGCAGGTGCTTGTGTCCTGATATACCATGGAGATAGTGAAATCTTCCCGTAATATTTATTCAAACAAATTTCATTCAGTTTTGCAAGATATCAGTCTATTCATTTTTAAAAATTTAAAAAATCACAAAACAAATAAATGAATTCAAATACAGAATTAAATAATTTAATGGAATATGTTATTTTATATACACTTATGCAGGGATTTTCCACTTCATTTTTGGAATGGGCAACACTCTGGCCCTTTGAATTGGGAATTTAACAGCATTTTATGTTTTATTAGAAAATTTTATTGCATAATGTTTTTCAAGAAATAATACTTATGATGTATAAAATTGATCTTTTACTTAATTATTCAGAACTATATAAGTCAGACTATAGATCAATTATAATAAACTTTTAGCCAAGTTTCTGAGTATTTCGTTCAATTAATTCTGATTTCCCAACTTGGCCTTGTTTGTTTTACATGAATTTTGATGAAGTAAACTTTGTGGAGTTTTTGCTCATGCAGTTCAATTTTGGGAAAAAAGGGAGGGGTTTTGCAATTGGAAATAGGGCCTATATTCGGCCCTACATGGGCAGTGTACAATCCCTGCAATATATCATTTATGTTCATTGACCCTGATAAGATCGATTGTATGTTGTTTTTACATCCCATTAAGAATTTTTCACTTATAAAATAGGGCCTATATTCGGCCCTACATGGGCAGTGTACAATCCCTGCAATATATCATTTATGTTCATTGACCCTGATAAGATCGATTGTATGTTGTTTTTACATCCCATTAAGAATTTTTCACTTACTTGTACATAGAGACAGCACCATATACATGTACCAGGGAAGGGCTTCTAATTTAGATCTTTACTCGGCACTCAGGGCCATTTAGCATTGAGGGTTCTTTATCATGCTAATGCATGTCATGACACGGGGTCCTCGGTTTTTAAGGTTTCATCTGAAGGACCCGCAATTTTCACTTCAAAATGCCAAGTGCATGGTGAAGGAACAGTTGCTACCTATTTTTTGTCGACTTAGATCAGTTGCCGCTGGGGATCGAACCCACATTCTTAAGATCATGGAGCGAGCGCTGACCTTGATAAGGAAGGGAACTCTCACTGGGGTTATTGATTAATATTGAATTTCTTTTTAAAAATTGTCCAGCTAACAGTTTAACCATTTCTGTCAAATCTTAAATCTGACAAGGAATCCTGAAATTTTGTGCATATTAATCATCAATTAGATTTCTTTTTGAAAACAAGATGTGTTTTTGAAACACTGTGCCCCCGTATGGCAACTTATAGCAAAGGTTAAACTTTCTCAAATGCAAATCAAATATGTTGGTACCTAAAGTGAGGTCTTGTCTCAAGGAATAAATCTGTGAAATATGAAAACCCTAGCAGCAACCATTGAAAAGATATGGAAAAGGTTAAAGATTTTTTCAAAAGTATGTCCAGCATCAAGGTCAAATGGTCAAAATTAATGGTGCCCAAGGAAAGGCTTTCTCCCAAGAAATACACAGGTGAAATATGAATGCCGAAGCATCAATCCTTAAAGTTATGACCAAGGTTAAAGTTTTCCAAAAGTAGGTCAAACTCCAAGGTCAAGGTCAAAGGGTCAAAGTTGTTGGTATCCAAAGAAAGGTCTTGTCATAAGGATTACATGTATGAAGAATGAAAGCTCTAGCATCAACTGTTCAAAAGTTATGGCCAAGGTTAAAGTTTTCCAAAAGTAAGTCAAACTCGTAGGTCAAGGTCAAAAGGTCAAAGTTGTTGGTATCCAAAGGAAGGTCTATTACAAGGATTACACTTGTGAAGTATGAAAGCCCTAGCACCAATTGTTCAAAAGTTATGGCCAAGGTTAAAGTTTGGTAAAATTTTGCAAAACTGAGTCAAACTCCAAGGTCAATGTCAAAAGGTCAAATTTGGTGGTGCCCAAAGAAAGGTATTGTCACAGGGAATACACATGTGAAATGTGAAAGCCATAGCTCTAACCAATCAAAAGTTATGGGCAAGGTTAATGTTTTTGCGGACAAACAGACAGACAGACGGACGGACAGGGCAAAAACTATATACCCCTGAATCTTCGATACAGGGGCATAAAAAAATCTTAAGGATTAAATCAATATTATGTATTTGGAAACAGAGAGATGATGGACTTATACTTTAATTTGAATTTTTATGTTTTCAAGTATTTGTTTACAATTTTGTTTTTTGTTTTGTACCTACTTTATTCACGTGTGTAGTAGATAATTGCATTATATCACACTCCTAGTAGATTAAACCTTAACAGTACATGTACTTGTGATAATACCCAGATTTACCATTCTTTGATAGAATAAGCTACTTATCAGTAGTAAGTGCATGATTATTTATTTGTATTTTTCCCAAGTGGATGTGTGCTGTACTGTAAACCAACCTTTATTAGCGTGTGAGAAATATCTGCGAGTTTCGCGACATACTTTACCTGGCGAATATTAATCGCCATGAACCATTTATTTTGCTCTGTATTCATAGAGAATATTTCCTCAGTCGCGAAAATTAATCGTCGCGGAATAATTTCAAACTGACGAATCACAAATAAAAGATTTCTCGAATAATAGTTGGTATACAGTATTTTATTACTAAGTTTGTAATAAGCATAATAAAACATAGTACCCTTTTCTACATCACATCTTGTATTAGCCCTTGACCAGTATCAGCCCTCAGCCCTTCGGCCCTCTGGCTGATATTGGTGTCTCAGGCTGATACAGAATGTGATATGAAAAAGGGTATGTATTATTCTCTGTGTAAATGTAGAGGAAAAAAGAAGATTAATTCAAAACATTGTAAGTAGAAACTAAAAAAATGTTTTGTTATTAAACAGAGAGAGGGAAGAGGACATGCCCCCACTTGGATGTACAGATATTTGTGGGTGAGGACAATTTTTTTTTTAATTTCATGATCCCCCCCCCTTTTTCCCTTTAATTTCAGATTCATTACATTTTAGTAGTCAATAATATTCTTTGCTTTTTCATTAAATAGTCAAAGTGTCATTATAGGCTTGTCTGTATGGATTGTGCTCTTGGGGGTGAGAAGGTCCCACCAGGAAAGTGCTATTTAGATACCATTGGTGTAGATGCCAAATTTCGAGGAAAGGGTATAGGAAAAGTTATGCTAGACGTGGCTGACGCTGATGCAAAAAGAAGGGGCTGCAAGGTATGATGATTTTTGTTTGATTTTTGTTGCAATTTTCATATGCAAAAGATTTAAAATTCAAATTTTGAATATAAAATACAGGAAGTACTGCTGTATGAATTTTATATTTCATTTATTGACACTTCTTGAATCTTAATCAATAAATGCATTCTCCAAAAGTATCTAAAACATGTTTCCTTTGAAAAAAAAAATAAAAATGTTGCAATAGAAGATGGTTACATAAACTATCTGTAAATTTTTAAAGTCTTCACATATCTTAATTATATATATTATTTGCAAACATTCATGAAGTAATTTGCTTTCACATCTCAAATTTTATCATTATTGCGCATTGTTCTTCCTCGCAGGCAATTTACCTTAAGGTGGCCTCTAACAATCGGGCCAAGCACCTTTATGAGAGACATGGATATGTGGTCAAGTATAAAACCTCACGCTGCTGCTGCATGTGGTGTCAGACAGGAATCAAAGTTAGTATCTAATCAAACCTTGTTATCTCAAACTCAGTGCTGAGAACAGCTCAAGGTGTTCGATTGGGCTCAGCCATTGGCATTGGGCAATAGAACATATTGAGCCATCCCCAGCACCTTGGGAAAAATACTCTGGTCTTTTGACTGATCAGACATTAAATAACTGTATACTCTCTCGCCTAGCATGATAGAACATCAACATGATCCACCATACATGAGAATAGGTGATATTCCAAAATACTTTGAATGTGAGGAATCCATGTACACACAGTTCACAATATTTTGCATAAAACATTCAGTATAAAATAACAAGTGTCACATGTAGTTGAAGGTACATGTAATGTGATTGAAAATGGCTTTCCTGAGGTGAAAATGTTCAATGTCACCATTGAGAAGATGCAATATTTATATTACATCAAAATCTTCAAAAATATGGTGCAAAACTAAGTAATCATGTTTGTTTTTTTTTTTTTTTTACCTTTTTAGGAATTTACTACAGTGGAAAAGTCACTGGAGTGAGATTGGGAACTACGATACTTAAAAAGATGTACTGTACTGGTGTCAGGAATGATTTCTAATTGACTTTTTTTCATTTGACTAATTTTAATGGATTTTTCATTTTACATACAGTGTATGTATATATATATATATATATATATATATACACTTGTATATGAATTCCTTCTGCATTCAATCAATTATTTTCTTTTATATATATTCTTTTATTGCATCCTATATTTTTAATGACATTATTTTTTTGAAGCATATAAATTCAGACATAATAATACTTTTTGTTAATGAAGAAAGGTTATTAGTACATGAAGTAAAAATATGTACAACATATTTGTATATAGTAAGTTGACATAAATGCATTAGATAGATCTTGGAAGCGAGACTCATTGTTTGTAACTTTGAAAACGATTTACCTAATTTAACATTTAATTGTTTGTAACTTAGAAAACTATTAATTTTTTTTCAATTTTTAAAAATGAAATAATAATGATATTGTTTTACCCATATTGGCATATTGGAGTTCATCCGGTGATATATATATATTTATCCCATGTTTACCCCTTTATCCCGTGGATATGACTCATTGGATAAATTTTTCATAATCCACAGTTAAGTGCAGTTGTGACGTCACAATGGTTTTTGCGTTAGCATATTGAAGGAAAATAAAGTGGAGTCCTATATGAAACAGTGTAAAACATTGGTTGTGAAGTATTAAACAAGGGATAAAAAGAATCTCCCATGATTTGTAGTCGGATATGACTTTTATCCAACTCGTTGTGTGTTTTTATCCCCTCGCCAAGGCTCGGGGATAAAAAACACACAACTCATTGGATAAAAATCGTATCCAACTACAAATCATGGGAGATCCTATATATATAAAATTATATATTACTTAAATAAAGAGTAAACTTGTAAAAAATATTTTAATCAAAACAAATTTTTACAAATAGTTTTACAAAGATGATATTTTCATATTGCTTTATATATTTCTTATAAATTTACTTGATCTTGATCACTTTTATGCATACTCTGAAGGTATGCAGATGGACTGTGAATGTGAACTAATGTTTTATCTGATATACATTTATGTATTAGCTCTTCTTTAATTGTAGTAAAAATGTTACTATGTTTTAGTGTTATTTTTAATTTATTTGTTCTCTATTACAATTTTCCATTTGTTCCCGTTATGCTGCCGGGTAAAAACGATGCAGGTAGAAGTTCCCTAAAAAAGATAATGTATCCCTAAAATCAATTTTTGTAAATAAATGAAATGGTTTTAAAAAAAAAAATTATAGTGTACAATATCAAATTTTATTTCATCTCTCCAAAACACTTCTAAGTAACTGTCACAGAAACTTTAACCTCGGTCAGAGAATATAACTTATAAGGGTTTTATACTCAACTTGCGCCTAACCTGTGACAAGACATTTCGAATGCAAAACGATTTTGAACCCTTATGACCCTGACCTTGTCTTTTCATCTCTGTATTAATGTAGAACATGTATGATTGATAAAATACAATTTTTCAGTTGTAATCCCCTTTGAAATTGCTGAAAAAATGATCATTTTTGCTGTTTTTTGTCCGTAAACATATGCCATCCCCCCCCCCCCCCCTTTGAAACAACAAAAGATTTGGTATGAATTTCTTAAATAACAATTTTAAATACCTGCAAAAAGTCAGAAATTTTCCATAAATCAATGATTTAAAAAATATTCTACGGCCATATACTGTTGCAGTTCTAGAAGTTGACCTTTAATTTCTACTATTTCAAGTACATGTATTTGTAAATTTAGTCTGGCTTGGGCATACGAAGAACGTGCATTGTCTGTTAATATTTGTAATATTACGAATGTAGATACATGTCGCCGAACTAAGACATTTGAACAAGGATTGTGTGTTATTGGTGACACGTACAATAAATGGGCTGCAATTATCTGGAAAACAAATACACTAATTAAAGGAGCGGATCCTGGGTTTTGATAGAAGGGGCGGAGGAAGGGTATGTAAAGCACGAGTCTTTACTGAATCATCAAGTTCATGATGATTAACGCAGGTAGGTTAAGGCTTCCCGTAGAATATCACAGTGCACTCTGTGCCTTCACATCTTTGAACTACCAAAATATGACGTCATAATGGAAAATGACGTCAGGTCACTGCAAACTTGAGGTGTTATGACAGGGAGAGTGTCATGAACTTGACACTTTATTTCAAACTGCACGTAAAATGCTAGATAGCTATTGCAAAATTCACGGATCGTTAATGGTTTTTTTAAGTTTTATATGTCCGAATATCATAAAAATACACCGCTTGCCTACCCTTGATTGAAATTTAGCATGTACAAAATGCTTATGAAAAATATACTTTTGAAATGTACTCTGTTTTATACCAGTGGTTGGAGGTAGAATTTATTTTGTATGTGTAAAAGATTCTGGCGCAGGTGATTATTGAGGATTAATCTGACATTTTTTTTTAGGAAATATGTAAGAAGAGGTTGTTCTCTAACTGAATCTTGCTTGGGAAAAATGTCTGTTGGCTTTGTTTTAATACAGATTACGATATTGTGTGGAAAATACCCTGAAATTTGTAGGTAAGTTGAATTTCTCAGGAAATATTTTGTACCCAAGTAATACTATGACTTTTCCCAAGCACATTTCGGATTCACAAGGATACGATGAGTTTATTTATATAACAAAATGTTAAAAATTATTGTGTTAATCAGCTGCGCCGAAGCGATTTATGTGAAACACTTCAAAAAATTATAAATGACCGTCACGTGATCAACAAAGTCATGTGATATCATAACAAAATATGTTAATATATAGCCGAGGAAACCCTTTATATAAATTGGAAGTACTAAAGCTCAATACTTATAAATTAAAACCAAAACCGACCTCGCAATGACATATTATGTTTTGAGCGCATTTTAGAGCTTCGGGAAGCCTTAACATAGCTGCGAAATTTTCTGGACAGTAAGATAATTACAGTATTATTTAATTAATCAAAGTTACTTTACTCGTGGATAGTTTATAGCTTGACCCACAGGAAATTTCAGTGCAATGGGCGTTCAAGTTAAAAAAGGTCTTTATCCCATATGGAAGCATGAAAAATTAGTGGCTGGGATCTATTCTCTTTAGAAAAGTGGACAGGCTTTCTCTAAAGAGAATAGCTGGGATCCACTGCATACAAAGAGTGAAGTCGTACATATACCAAGAATTTAGTACATGTACTTGCATGCATGAAGTCCTTCTATTTAAAACGGGGTAGGATTAAAAAAGTGCAGAATATCTTAACCACTATTTCAGCAGAAGCAACAATAAGAACAGAAACAACTGAATATAAATTATAGTAAAACAATATTTCCAATTTTACCATTTTACAGAAGAATAAATTTATAATTTTCAGTAAATACCAAAATTAATATACTTTTAAATGCACAAGGAAGTGCATACAAACAAAGCTCATTTTTGTAGGTAAAATAAGCTCGGATGGCAATTAAGGGTTTTCAATAGTATTCCGGAAACATTTTTTCCATTTCAACTACAAGCTGTACTTTTGTTATTTTGTAAATAACCAATATATCCTGTTTGATTTCGTAGTTAAATAAACATTTGATTTGGAACTGTTTTGCGGCTCAGTAATTCAGAAGTGCACAAGTAAGTCTTTTTTCTCTCCCACAAATATTACACAGAAAAAGTGAAAGAATAAAGAAGTGAAATTTGTTTAATTTAATATGTCTTCAAAGATTTGTTTATACATACATGTAATTGTACAGTCTGTTGTATACAGGTTAAACAGGTTGGGCACACCCCACCAAATGGTCATTTATCCCCCGTTTGGCGGACAATCTCCCATATTGGAGACGAATTTTACTGACCAAATGGTGGACTTTTTTATTCTATTCCAATTTTTATTAAAAAAAAGCAAAAGCGCATTTACTTAGGCATTGGGGAATTTTAGTGAACATAATCATATTCCTCGCACAATAAACATAGTTTGGTCGATTTTCCATGTGCAATTTCTCCATAACTTCCTAAAAACGACACCCATAGTTGTCCGTAACAGCCGAACTTCTTGATCAATTGATAAAAAAAATTTTGATTGTGTCTAGTAGGATAAAAATTCTATTTCATCCAGTGGTGTAACTCTTGATAAGTTAAGTTTCAATCTCTTTTTGGATCTTCGTCAATATTTATTTCCATAAAATCCCGTTAAACACGAGCTCTTCATTACTTTACTGGTATGGTGGGCACATACTGCTATAAAGTTAAATTTTGCTAGACTTGAACGTAATATCTTTTGTTATTTTTCTTTTAGGATGAAGTTGCATATTCCATGCAACCTTTTGTGGTTTAATATGTATATTACTGATGAATTTAAAATATTTGATAAATAATTTTCAATAAAAGATTTACAAAGTGACTTTTGCAATTATTCTTGTTTTCGTTCAAAGTACATCATTTTAAAACAATAATTATATCATAATCTAACTTCATTTACTATTTTTATAAAGAACAAAGCCATTACGTACAAAATAAAACGAAATAAAGGCGAAAACTTATTTTTCTTTTGATTTCCTAATTGAAAATTGACACAAATGTGCCTCCGTAGTAAAATCCGACTTTTGACCAGGTTATAAAAAGATCATCGTTTTTATTTGTTTGCATTATTTGATTGGTTGCCCGGATAATCGAAATAGAAAGTAAAGAAAATGATTGACAGGTGCAGCATCGTTGGAGAAGGAGGGAATTTTCTTTTTAAGTAAAAACAGAGAAATGTTGCACTTGTTTACGTACGTGACGTTTTTTGTCAAATTTTTGACCGACTCTGCGCAAATAATTACACGTTGAATTTCCGATTTTTTTCATTCAGAACACCGATAAATATCTATATTTTATTCCACGTGGTTTAAAATTATGCGCCATTTCACGCCATTCTATGGAAATGAACACAACCATTTTTCTCTCCCAAATGGTCAGTAAAATTTGTCTCCGATATGGGAGATTGTGCACCAAACGGGGGATAAATGACCATTTGGTGGGGTGTGCCCAACCTGTTAAATGCGTAAACAAGATAAATAAGGGTATGAAAATGTTATAGAAATTAGTCTTTTAATATACAATGTTACAATCTTTCACAAGAATTTTGATTGCATAATGCAAGGCAGGAAATATTGCTTTTTGAGGGGATACAGACAAAACCTAATCAAAGGTGTATATTATTATGATTATGATAATTGCGCAAGAGTATTTATTTTAATACGATTCTCATTTCTATGATTGTCATTTAATGGAAAGGTATGATACATGTATATGTTTATTACATACAAAGATCGATATATTTTTTTAAAAATGTGTTTGTTTTTTTTTAATCACTCACTATTCAATTTTGTTCAAGACTTAGTGAAGAAAATGTAAAAATTGGGTGGGGTCATTTAAAAATCTTCTCAACAGTCAGGGGTGAGACTGAAATTCATCACTTTTAAAAATTATGATTTCTAGTCATAAAATTGATTTTTAGAAATGTCTAAAAATTCATCAATTTTTAGAATAATGATGAAAAACAGTCATAACTATTTGGAGTTTATTTTACAATATCATGAATATAGAGTTACCTCTGAAAATAAATATGACTGTATAATTTCCTCATTTTTTATCATATTGGTAGGTCTGGGCGCACTTAATTATTTCATTTGTTTTATGGGGTGCACTATTTTATTTTGGTTTCAATTGTATGTTAAGATGTTTCTCTACACATTTGCCTATTACCCCATTCATATGACGAAAATTTGCTTATATGTGCAAATTTACACACGAGTTAATTTACACACATAAGTAAAATTTAATTTGCTTTGCGTTCAGACGAGATTTATGTACTTTAGGTAAACCCTCAAATTGTCATATAAGAAAAGGGAGATGGACAGATTCAGAATTGTGAATTTTCACAGAAAAAGGGTATTTCCTTACTATTTGGGTATAGGACTAACTTTTGGATGTTCCAGAAGGAAACGAAGAAAAATCAGATCCGCTGACTGGCAGACCGAACCGTTCTTAACAACTTTAAGAGCAAAGATTGGTAAGAGAATTTTCGAAAAAAAGAAGGAAATTTTTTTTAAACTTTGTGAGAAGTTGGAAAATGCTTTGGTCCCGGTCCAAAGACTGTAGAAGAGCCGTTGGATGTAAAGAAAAAGGTGGCTGTTACCATCTACTGGTTAGCGGAAAAAAGGACGATTGGAAATCTTTTTGGTGTTGGTGAAATCTAACGTGTTTGATTGTAAACATCAAGTTTGCAAGGCCATTATGGAACATCTGCTTGAAGAACATGTGTATTTTCCAGAAGGAGAATGAAAATGGTGAAGATAACAAACTGTGATCGATCTCAAAAATCATTAAAAAATACAAATATGTGAAGAGGGCTCAGATCCTCTGGTAATTCCAGAGGTGGGATCAGGTGCCTAGGAGAAGTAAGCACTCCCAGTCGACCGGTCACACCTGCCATGAGACCAATGTAATGATCAGATAGACGGGACATTCCATAGTCAAATCAGTATAAAACGAAGTCCTAACAATAGGTATGAAACAAAGCAGCCAATATGACCCTGAGATAGGTTTTATTTGCTGACAATATCATAATAGTCATTATAGTCACCATAGAGTTATTTTCCGTCAGTCTCCATATTGGACATCAACAAGCCCAGATTCCTTCATTATTCAACGATTTTAAATGTGTCATACTGGACAATGAGGCAAAGAAAACAGTTTTCCTTACGAATATATGTTAACAAAAGGTTCCTTAATTCAGAAGTTTAGATATTTAAAGATTTTTGCTCTTATATTTCTGCCATACAAGTTTAAAATTGGTTGGTCAAAGAGGAAAATTTACTAGTTTGACCCCCAAGATGGTGGCCAAGGGAAATAACTCGAAGGGGAAATACTTCATACGAAAACTATTTATTTTCAAAATGCTGACTTTAAATGAGATTGTTGACATCCATGTAACATCAACTTATCTATCAGTATCCTGCCTCAGTTTAAAAACTGAAAAAGGGTGAAGAAAGTTATCAAGGGCTATAACCTGTGGTGGGGCAAATGATGCACGCATATTCCTAACATTACTCCTAAGCATTCACATGGGAGACTACTTGAACAGGAAGGGGTTCTACTCATTGATACTGCGGTATGTTTGCGACCGCAGCTATGCCTTTAAAGACATAAAGATGGGTTTGCCAGGAAAGGTTCATGAAGCCCGATTTTTCGCAAAATCAAAAATTTATTTCAGAGGAGATAATGGCTCCTTGTTTTCAGAGCGGAGAAAGCAATTTGAGAAAGTACACATTGTACTATGCTAGACAGTAGTACTTCTCGACGACCCAGCGTATCCTTTGTAGACTTGGCTTTTGAAGCCATACACCAACAGATCTACCTTTACAAAAACTAAATTCACTTTCAACTAAAGTTTAAGTAGAGCAAGAATGACCATTGAAAATCCGCATATTTAGAGCTTTGCTTTCTAGCCGCCATGTTACCGACTGATATTTTTATCGTTTATAAATTTTATTTATTTTTTTTAAATTTTATTTTATTTTATATAAAAATATATTTTTATTTCTATTTTGTATACATAACAGTAGCAATGCTTAAAATGGAGATTGATGCAATACACAAGACGAAAAACTTACATAAGTAATTTTGCTGCATGTTCATACGACAAAATTTACACACTGGAGCAAATAATTTGCAACAACGTGTATGCAAAAGTTAATTTGCACCTTGTCCTGACCAGGTGCAAATTTACTCAACTGTGCAGAATTTGCATATGAGCAAATCAGTTCATACGACAAAAATTGCCTATGTAAATTTACATATGTGTAAAATATACTGAAGTATGCAAATCGTGTCGTATGAATGGGGTATATGGCAGGATAGTGCACTAAATAAATATGTTATTATTGTAGTAAATGGGTTGGACGATTAAACTTGGGAATGCAAATATGATGGAAAGAAGTCATATGTACAAAAATAATAAAAATATGTACATTATGTAGTTGGTAGAAATGACAATTATCAGTATCATTTTTCAAAATGATGGATATGCAGTCTCACCCCTAACTGCTCAAGAAGCACTGGGTCAGAAAAGATGAAACTTAAAGAAAACTTCCCTACACAGACATAATTTTAGAATAAAGTTTGTTCAAATCATGATCACTGGGGGTAGGGTGGAGCCACTGTGGGAAAACAAGTTTTACATGGGAATTGATTATAAAAATCTTTAAAAATCTTCTTGTGAAAAGCAAAGACATGACCAATCATATTTATAGAGAAACTTCCAAAGTTAGTGTAGATTCTTGTTTGTTCAAATTATGACACTCCCCCTCCCTACTAGTAGGATGGGGCCACAATGGGCAATAAGAATACATGTAAAAAAAAATCTTCAAAAATCTTTTTAAGACCAGGGAAACCTTGATTAGTCATATTTATAGGGACACATCCTCAGGTAGTGTAGATTCAGGTCTGTCACATTATGACCCCAGGGGGTAGGGTGGGGCTACAATTGGCAAATCAAAATTTTACATAGAAATATTTAGGTAGAAGAATCTGTTGGTGAAGAACAAGAAGGGCAATAGTTATTCAGGTAAGCATTATGGCCCATGAGCCTCTTATTTTTAACTTTTCATAATTATATACATTATCTTTTACAGTATTTTATCTGATGGAAAGAACAAATTAATGTATTTATGCTGCATTGGATCATTGTAAAATGGAATTTGTAACAACACACCAGCCCGTAGCACTAGGTCAAATAAACACCCAACCAGAACTTTTAAAGAGAGGCCCAGTTACCATAAGGAATCTCCAAGACACAGAAGAAGATTGTCAGTTTAGTGGCAGATTAATGGTCGAAGCATTTGAAAGAAAATTTATTCATGCTACTAGCAAAAACAGGTATGGATGAATTGATTTATGAATATGCCTGCTTCATTATAGTAGATCCCAGCATTAAAGTGTTTTGAACTTTTGTACACAAATATTTTACTGTACAAAATTTAAAATTTTGAAATTAATTTTAAAATTTACAACTGTACATTGTTTTTCTCTTTTCAGCCTTCCTAAAATACAGGAATTATTTGCAAAAATGTCACGCAGAAGGCCTCCATTATATTATGAAAGAGACTTCATTGCAGAATACAATGGAGAGAGAGCTGGCTCTTGTGTTCTTCGTTACCATGGAGATAAAGATCTCTTCCCGTAATAATTTTTAGGGTCCTACAGTAAAAATGACCTAATATTTTATTTTTGTTTAACAAGAAAAGGTCAAACAAAAATGTTTGGCAAATGTTGAAGAAAATGACAGTTGATATTCAAAATTCATCATAATAATATTGTTTATAATATGGAAGACTTGAAATCTCAGTCACCTTTTAAATCTCAAAATTTGATAAAGGAAAATTATATGTTAGAATGAAACATAGGGGAGAAATGATATTTATTGGTGAAAGATATATACTTTCTCTCTTTTTGTGATTTTGTATCCTAAATTGTAAATTTAAAATATTTCTTACATTTTTTTCTTTTACAGAGATAGGGATCAAGATATGCCTCCATTAGGATGCTCAGATTCTTGTGGGTGAGAATGTACAAATGACTTCTTAATATTTCAGTTTTGTGAAGTTAATTAATGTGTTAAATCCTCTGTATCTGACTTATTTAATAAGAGTTTGTTGTATAATTTATTATCATTTGAGATTAGTCATGAATTTTTTTAATGTATTAAACAAGTGTCCTCAGTTGAAACAACAAAGTAAATTTTGGCACGGATTTGATAAATAACAAATAGTAATTGTAATACATGGAAAAAAAAAGAAAAAAAAGGAATTTTATACTTGTAATCAGGATTCAGTTGGTTAGAAGATTTGTTTTTGATACACCTGCAGCAAAATTTACCTATTTCAAAATTTAAATAAATCACTACATAAAATTAATCTGACAAACAAATTAATTGTTTGCATGAAAAAAATAAGATGACTGATTCCCTATATGAAATCTCATTGCAAAGATCAAAGCTTCTCCAATATAAGTCAAAAATCCCTTCCACCAATCCTTCAGAAATTATGATCAAGCTTGAAGTTTTTCAAATGTAGGTCAGACTCAAAGGTCAAGTTCACATACATTTGTACTGAGGAAAGGCTTTGACACAGTGAATATACATTTAAAAAATGAAAGCACTATTATCAACAAAGTAATAACCAAAGTTTAAGTTTTCAAATGTATGTCAAACTTCAAGGCCAAAGACAAATAGGTACCAGAAAGGAAGGCATTATCACAAGTTATACAGAAGTGAAATATGAAAGCTGAAACACCAATGGTTGTCAAGTTTAAGGCTTTTAAGTTTTTCAAACTTCTAGGTCAAGGTATGAAAGTGTTGGAACCCAAGGGATGGTTTTGTTAAAATTAATAAACTTGAGAGAAAAATGACAGCCTAAGCACCAAAAATTCATATTAAGTTGTTGACAAGGCTAAAGTTTTCTCAAAAGTACATGTATTTCAAGCACCAAGATCCAAAGTTCAAAAATGTTGGTCAAAGTCAAAGTTAAATATGGTAAAAATTTGCAAGAATTAGGTCAAACTCCAAGGTCAAATATGTTGATGTCCAAAGAAAAGTTATGTCACAAGGAATCCACATTTGAAATATGAAGGACAAGCTCCAATCAATGAAAGTTATTAGCAAAGTTAAATTTTTAGCAGACTGCAAAAAAATTAAAAAAAAAAAAAGGGAAAAAAAACCCAGAAAGACAAAAGGACAGATTAAAAGCAGTATGCCCATAAATCTTCAAGGGCATGAAAATATAATTTTTATTTTTTGGTGACTTCTTTTTCTTAAAAAAAAACCAACATTTTTTTTAAAATGCATTGCAGATGTAATAATTGCTAAAAAAAAATGATACTTAAATTTTCCACTCTTATAGTGACTTAAAAATTTCTGCAGAAGCTATGAAGTTTATGAAAATCATAAAATTGGTCTATTTGACCCTGTCCTTCAGAACTGAACATGTATTTTATATTCTTTCCTTTGATTATTATCAGCATAGGGAACATGATTTTTTAACCAAAAGTTTAGGAAAATATTCAGGACTTTCTGTTGGGTGTCATTTAACTTTCCTTCTATGCTTCACAACCTTCTTATAATAAAACACAGTTTATTATTTATATGTCATTCATCAATAAAACCATAATTTTAATGTTTGAAATTATTTTAACATATTTGAACAGTTCATTTAAACCAGTGTCACAATTCCTTACCATAACTCCTTTATTACAATTCTCTTTATAAAGGAATTCCCACCCAAGATTAAGAAATTATACCTTTTCCTAATACAAGTTCCTAAAGTCAAGCAGTGTACTTATAGTACACTTTCTTGATATTTTAGGTTGGCATGTCTTAACTGTGCTGTATCAGGTGAGGATATTCCACGAGGAAAATGTTATGTAGATCACATAGGAGTAGATGCCAGATTTAGAGGGAGAGGAATAGGGAAAGTCTTGTTAGACATGGCTGAAATTGATGCCAAAAGAAGGGGATGTAAGGTAAACATTTCTGTCTTTTAGAAGATTTTTCAAGGACTTCTACAGTTGATTGTGGGGAACAGTACCTCATAATATACTGATTTTCGAAAAGTGACCAAATGCCATTCTGAATTTCAAGACTTCTTGTCAATGACTGAAAGAATTTTATTCTCTCTAAAGCCTTTTTAGCTTACCTGAGACAAAGGATCAAGTAAGCTTTTCTGATCAAGGAGTGCCTGGCGTCTGTCTGTCTGTCGTCTATCATCTGTAAACTTTTTGACTTCTCTAGAACTACTGCTCTCTTTCATGGGGAAAAAAATTAAAGAAATAGTGAAAATTTGATGGGTTCATTTAAAAATTTTCTCAAGAACATCTGGGCCAGAAAAGAAAAAAATGAAACTTATGCTAAAGTTTCCTGACATAGTGTAGATTCAAATCTTGAACCCACGGGGGAAAGTTGGGGCCACAATAAGGGATTCAAATCTTAAACCCCGGGGGAAAGTTGGGGCCACAATAAGGGATCAAATTTTATTACATAGAAATATGCAGAAAAAAGGTTTAAAATTTTTATTCTCAAAAACCACTAGGCAAGAGAAAATGAAACTTATGAAAACTTCCTGACAGAGTGTAGATTCAAATTTGTTCAAGTCTTGGCCCCCAGGTTTGGGTGGGGCCACAATAGGGGGTTAAAGGATAACACTGGAATACATAGGAAAGAATGTTTATCAATCTTCTTCTTAAAACCACTGAACCAGAAAAGATGAACCTTACATGAAAGCTTCCTAATAAAGTGTAGATTCAAAGGAGGGGGATTTACTTCTGCTGGGAAAATATTTTGATTAACCCTCTGATAAAAAGACCAAGGTGATTCATGTGAGCGTTGTGGCCTATGGGGTCTCTTATTTTTCGAGTTATGTTCAAATTGGATTCACTTTCATTTAACAGGCTATATATCTTTGGGTAGCAACTAGCAATCGAGCACAGCACCTGTACGAGAGGCAGGGATATGTACTCATGGAACAATACTCATTGTGTGGCTTACTTTGGTGTCAGACTGGAGAAAAAGTTTGTATCTCTCTTTTTGCTCTTCATACAATGTCAATGGAAAAAGTTCAAAGAGTGTTACCAACATTGTTATTAAGATAGTGATTGAAAAATATGATATTTAAGAAAATATTACATGATTTGTGCTAGCAAACATTAATGTTGGAAAATAGCCAAATTTATTCTATAGGGCATCCGATTCCTGATATCTGTACGAATTCAAAGATATTGGATGCATGTGCTGGTTTTCTTAGTCTTTGTTAACGTTTGGGAAGTATTTTCTCCTTCATAAACCAGCATCATAAAAAAACACTAATGATTTCATGCATTTTTCAGTAAATGGGCAGCATTATTAGCAAGCAGATAGCACAAACTGCAAGGATAACTGACATAACTAAATGCATAAAATACAATCAGCATTACTTATCAGCCAAAACAGCATACTCAGTACTCAATGGTCGATTTTCTTTGTTATGTGTTAAGATATCATTTATTTCATGACAAATGCAGGGTATTTTATTTGAATATATTTTATTAGAATATGACTTTTTAAATCCAGACAACCTAATAAGAATTCTTTACATTAAGAGTTAGTATGCTTAACTTAAAATGATGAAATTCTTTATATCATTTTTCGTCTTGCGCATTCTCCAACATGACTTGCATCTTTGGTATTTCTGATAGCATTGAGTTTTTCAATCCAGATATTATCAGCATAAAAAAACATGGCATGCATTGCCCAACATTCACTTAACAAATTTACACATTTCATTAACAAAACTTCATAAATTTCTTAAATTATTTTTAGCTGTAAAATTACATTTTCCCACTTTTCACCAAATTTTGTAGCTTGGTCAATCGTAAAGTTGTTCAACTAAACAATTTTCACTTCTTTAGTCACAGAGGCTCCTATTTAAGGAAAGATTTAAATTTTGGAAGAATAAATTGTTTGAGTTATTTTTCCTTTAATGCTCGATATGACAAAGGTTAAAAAACATGCAAAGAATTTTTATTTCGTACTAGAAAAAAAAATGTATGCCCCGAAATTAACATCATGCGTGTAATGGACAATAATTTGGACATGATGTAAAAAATGAATTTATAAATCCTGTGAGTGTGACAAAGTTCACTCAGCAGTTTACCTGTGTTTACGAAATTACATTTATTTTACTACTTCATTTCTTTTCTAAGGAATTTGCTCGCATGGAAAAGATTCTGATGTGATGAAAACAATTTTTGCAATCAAGTCAACGTTTAATTGCTGCAGTGCCACAATGTGCAAACTTGACAATCTGTCCCTTTTTTATCTTTTAAATGCTGTATTCTGTATCCCTTGTCGTTATCTTTATTATATTGTACAACTGGCATAGTTTACAGATAAAAAAAAAACGACTATTTTATATTATATATACAATTTTACATGACAAATACCTAAGATAATATTTGTATATGAATCCTTAGCATATTTTTAATTCACCTGATTTTTTTTTCAAAGTTCTAATCTATGTACAATGTTCTTTATGATGTCATACATATCTGTTGCAGATTGTTATGTGTTTTTTTAGCGTTTTATCGAGGAATTCCAGATCTTTTTGGGGTCTTTGAAAAATTGATATTTCCCACTTTAAAAACAAAATTACATATCATGAGATATTGTTCAATTTATATTTTATTTTACAAAATTAATCTCTAACAATCTCAGAGAAAAAAATTATGATTCCAGTGGAGGATTTTTTTTTCAACAAAACCTTTTACCATGTTTACGTAGTATAGACTCACCTACAGTGTATAAAACTGTGTATACTTTATTTTTTTAAGCATAATTATTTAAAACTTAACAAAATCATAATATAAAAATAATGTTGGCCAGGAATTTATTTGTGATCTAAATAATTTTTTTCTATGTCTATTTACATAATGTCTTATTTTAGTTTTATTCATGAAATAATACACAATGGACCAATCCAGAGACCCCAAAATATGTATCTTTCTGAAATAAGTACACATTTACGTTTCCAGTAGATAAATCGTTTTTCAACACAATTTTTTATCATGTTTACCTAGGTTAGATCCATTTACAATACTGCATATACTCTTTTTATTTAAGCATATTTACAACTTTGCACAAATTCACATAATGTAGGCCAGGAACTTATTTGCGATCTAAACTTAGTCTGGTCATTTTTTTTCTATGTTTATTTACATAATGTCATATTTTAGTTTTATTCATGAAATAATATACAAAGGATTAATAAGAAACTCCTAAATATGTATCTTCCTGAAATAAGTAGACATTTAAAACGTCTACTCTGTGAATTGTTTTACCTGTATTTTATCAATTTACATAACTGTATGTTTCATATTTACATGTATAAATTTCATGAGAAATACAACACCAGGGACGTTTATACTATAAACGTCCCTGAAAACACGTCCAAATAGAATATTCCCTGTGCAATGTGATAGAATTTTTTTATTTAACCTTTTACACTGATTTTTGAACACTTATAATACATCCCACTGGACATAGATACAATATTGTATCAAGACTGTAAATCAAAGTCCTTAGTTTTAAAAAGAACTGATTTTTTTTCATGAAACTTCCTTAAGCATCTTTTATTTTATCTTTTAATGCAAAACAGCTACATGTATGTTGTCTTGTGTAGGATTTGAATATTGTTCACCTTATACTTTTTACATTTTAAACATTTGTATTAATATTTGCATTTGTAAGTTTAAAGAAATGATGTCTATTATTGCATAATTAAAGTTTACTTAACAATTTTGAGATTATTTGTACAGTTTTTAATCTATGAAGATATTTACCATAACTTTTTAAGTAAACGTGTAACTAAATGATATACTAGTATTTACAGATGTTAGTAATGGCCAAAAGCACTGAAACTCAGGGTTATTCTATCAAAACCACATCACAACTTTTGTGACCTCATTATATCAGGATTTCCTACGCTTATTAATCTATAAGAAGAAATATGGAAGTATTAAACATGAATAGTTTAGTTATATATTTTTTTTATTGTGAAGTACGCATACATATCAAATAAATGCTCGATCCAGACATAGTAACTGTGGAGAAAATTATAAATATACATGTACCGGTTAAATGTTTTAAATGTTTATACTTATATTTTTTTTTGCATGTTCGTGAACTCAAAGTGATATTGAAACATTTTGTACTTCTTATTATGAATTATCAATTTGCTTATAAAGCCATACACGCATTATATTAGACATTTATACTTTGTTCAATGATATTCTTTCAAGAAAAATATCTTTAAACATATCTCTGTGTTTTTTAACTGTATGTCTGCGTTGCATAGATTGTCAGCATTTTAATTGGTATCTGGCATTTCTTAACCAAAACACTTGGCAAATTTGTTTAAATTGTATAATAATTAATGGTATGTATTATTACAAGACAAGGGGGGGGGGGGCATTCAAGGTTATTATTATGGTAGGGTATTGACAAGGAAAATGTTAATATAGACTAATGTTTAAATACCATATAGCAAAATTTTACCTCCAGAAAGTGCTTAATAATGTTTATTCATTGTGTAGCCCTGGAAAGATGATAACAACAGCGAAGGCTACATTGCAATAGAATTTTCATCTTATAAACTTCCATTTGTCCATTCTGCAGGTTACAAGTTCCGTCCTCTTTTTTAATTTGTCATAGCGAGTAGATCATTTATTTTACCAGTATATTCATGAAAACGCCTGTCAGTAGGCTTGTGAGACAATGATCCTCCTGATTTGAATATTTGGTATCAATTGTCGCAGCCAATAGTTACAACTTGTTTTATCTAAGAGTCGTTTGTGAAGTCACAATCACTTCAAATGCGCTGGCGCCCGGTAAATATCGTTTTAAAACCTGGTATGTATAGAAACTTATAAAATAAAATGTATTTGTGTAATTTTTTATTGAAATACAGGCTATTTAATAATAATAATTAATGTAATAATAAAAATTAATATCTATTATGCATGTAAAAATAAATGTATAGTAAAAGATTTCACACAGCAATAATAAATTTATTTTTAAGTATTTTCAAATATACAGGGTGTCCCAAAATATATGATACCATTTGAAATGTCTGCCACAAACACGTCCCTAGGCCAATTTCTTTGATATATGTCTCTAAAAATATTTGAATAAGTACAATTTTTTAGCAACAAAATATTCCAAAAAAATTCTCACACTTACGAAATTGCAACGTAACAAATTTACATCAAACTTTTGCAAAAAAACTGCAATTTCTATCAAAATGGATTATCAAAAGAGCTAGTTACCCTCATATTGAAACTGTTATTATCAATCCTAGTCTTAGATTCTGCTGCTAAACCCAAACCAGAATCTTTAAGATATATAAAAGGTTTACCTCTGATGAAAATCATGGAGTTACTACCGAGACAGGCACTGTTGTCTCAAGTTAAGGAATTTTGTGCAGTGTCTAGACATTATCAATACACAGATAGAACGTCGTTTAGAGGACATCATTTAAAAACCATAGCATTTTTCAAAGTGAACTCATTTTGTTGTTTTCTTTTTAATGACTGTCAAATTATGTGAATAAAATTGGACATTATATGCAATGTTTATAATGCATTTGATATAATTCAGTATTCATTACATTAGGTTTTACAGAATCTTGAAATGGTATCATATATTCTGGGACAGACTGTACATTTAATTGAGAATTTAATGGGTAAATTTGTAGTCGTCATTGCTACACTGTAGTACACGATACTATTTGATCCTCCATAAATCTGTAATGTTGAGTAATGATACATCACTAATTATCATAGTTTACTTGTCATCGATAATATTTTAATTATTTCCCCCTTTTTTTGGTCTTCTCTGGGTTGTATCTGCAAATGTGTTTCAACAAATTAAAAGTTTTTTTCCTGATACTTATATCACACATGTACAAAACAAAAGACAAATGAATTCTGTGAAAGAAAATACGTCTCTTATTTAAACATTCATTTAGTGTATATTATAATGATATATTATCATTATATTAATTTGTTCTTATAAAAATGAATGTCATATTAAGACGGTTATACAGGGCAAATGAATTAATTAAGTCACTCAGTCATCACTTCCTTGACCTTTAATCTTGGTATTGTAATCTAAATATGTTTCTAAGACAAAGTATCTCAGACTCTTTGCATGAATAAGACTGAAAGGTAGAAGGGATACAATATTTATATTATGTCCGTCCTTGAAGCCTTGAATTTTTATCACCACTCAGACACACGCGTATACTGACCAATGATACATCGATTGCGACGGAATATTCAGCATTATAATATAGTCTATTTATAGTCCTTATATAATCTATAAAAACGCAAAGGATTCATCAAGCTATTCACTGAATTTGAAGACGTATTCACTGGAGGGTCAGTGTGCATGCAGCGGCGATTTGTGACGTGATAAAAGACACCTCAAACAACATTGTAAATAATGGCTCCAACCGCCGAAGCGAGCTGTATACTTAACATAAAAAAATGATAGGCAGATCTTTTGTCAGATTATTTTCCAAACATCTCGATGTCTTATACACAACGAAAGGAAAACGGGGAAGTTATAACTTATCTGATCATTTTAAATCTTCTTTATTTTCGACAGTAGTTCGTTAATGAAAATGGTGTCGTCATGCAGCCTTCAATGTTTTACTTACATGTACTCAAATATGGGCTATGTAATTAACCAAATATGGACTGTCTCTTTTGATGGTGAATATTGTTTGTTATTCACCAGAAAAAAATATCTATTTTGACATCGGCTCCACATCGGTCAATATTGATAATTGTTGTTCATAATTGTGAATTGTAAACCATATTCACCTCCGAAAGAGCCCGTCATTTGATATTATTACTACACTGTATTAATAAAAAATGTTCTATAAAAATGTTGTCATTTCGAATACTTATTTAGGAACTGTGAAATTTGATATCTATCAAATAATCCGGAACTCAAATTTCCACCTATAGTACTTTCAGTAGTTTTGAAAACATTCAATTTCATGTTGTTTTTTTTTCAATATGACATATGATATGGGATGATAAAATTGATGTAAAGAAATATTTTGCAGCTCATCTTATTCAAAAACATGCATGTAAGTCTTTTTTTCACTGTCAGATTACACAGAAAAATGTGGATTTGAACACAGGGACTTTCTATGAATAATGAATACTGAGAAAATCTTTAGTGTTTGAATGTATTTTTTTTTTAATTTTTGAAAAAACTTGCTCTTTGCTTTTAAGATAGAAAGGAGAAAGACTACATTAGATCTCTTCATAATAGTGTTTTATCTGAAGGAAGCAGATTATCCAGTACGTGTAAGGAGACCGATTAAATTTATCAAAGAATTGATGCTGAATTGGGCCAAAGAAAAATGACATCTGTGACAACACAGCAGCCAATAGCATTCGATGAGAAAGATGCTTGTACAGAGCTTTTAAAGAGTGGCCTAGTTACCATATGAAATTTACAAGACAAAGATGATGATTGTAAATTTAGTGGTAGATTACTGGTGGAGGCATTTGAAGGGAAATTTGTTCATGCTACCAGCCGAGGCAGGTATGGATAGAATGCTATACTCATTGTTCAAGTAGTAAAGATACTCATTTCTGTAAATCATTATCTTTGAGATAGGTTTAGACTACATAAGGGATCCCAGATGAAGACGAGAAACACATATATTTTAAGTGATACTTGAAAGAATTACATGGTTTTAATTTGGATGCTTAAATTTAGGGGAATGAATCTGTAAATGTTTTTTTAGGTATTGCCCCTTTAATGTTTGAGACACCATAGAAATCCATCATGCTATAAAATACTCTCTCTTCAAAATCAAAGTTGCATGCACTCTGATATAAAATTATGGAAGTGTGTGTGTGTGTGTATTTGCTAGATTTGAGCGTTGATAAAAGGTTTGGTTTGATTTAAGACTTACATGTAGGAGGAGGAACTTGTGATAATTGTTGATAAGGGCCTTGCACCAAGATGCAGATGCTCTATTATAATAATAATCACTGGATGTGTCTGTAATTGTTCAGCCTTCTGTTTAGTGCTCTATAACAGTAAATTGATATTTGGGAGAATTTTGTAATCAGTAGTTTCTTACTTGTTCACTGTCTTCATTGTTTCCTTGCTCCAACAATTTTAAGTTGGACAATATATATTAACAAGACTCATTATAAATCCAGTCTTTGGTAATATCTTTATAACCACGGTTACAATGCAGGCACACCTTGTTTTTCAGAGGCAGACAAGATAATGGTTACTATATGGTAAAATCCATTCCTTTTTTCTGTTACAGAATACCTGATATGAGAGTTTACCAGGCAAATACACAGAGAAGGAGGCCTCCAGAGTTCTATAAAAGGGAATTCATTGTAGAGTATAATGGAGAAAAGGCAGGCGTCTGTGGTGTACGTTTCCTTGGAGACAACGATATCTATCTATCTATCTATCTATCTATCTATCTATCTATCTATCTATCTATCTATCCTTAACATTTCAATTTAACAGAGAAAGGGATGAGGACATGCCCTCCCTTGGATGCAAAGGTTCATGTGGGTGAGAGTCTACTTCAAAATGTTACCATGAATTTCCTGTATGAATATTTTAATTAGACCTGTTATAATTAAGGCTTTAAAAATATCAATCTAGGCAACACATTTATGTGTTATGTTTGAAATATCCCCTTGAATTATGTTCATTTTTTATGTAACTTCAATGCACATGTCTTTATTTGAGTTTTGATACATACCAAGATTTATTCAAAAGTATTTTCATCAAAGTTTATTCATTGCCTATCTGAATCTGTCGGTCTGTTAACTTTTCAAATTTTCAACTTCTTTTTAAGAACCATTGAGCCAATTTCAAAGAAACTTTGTATCTTTAGTATCTTAAGCTTGATTTATTAAAATTTATTTAGCTGAATGGCTTCCAATAAGAGAAAAACAAAAAAAGCAAAAATAGGTTGATGTCAATTAAAAGTCTTTTCCAGAACCATTGGGCCACAAAATATGAGATGATTTTGTGATATTTTCCTTACATAGCATAGATTCAAGTTCGTATGAACGTTTGGAGGTGGGGCCACAATAGGGGATCAAAGATTTGCGTGGGATGATTTAGGGAAACATCTTTAAATATCTTTTCTCAAAAACAGAAAGACCATGATTATTGTCAATAACATGGAAGCATCTTCAAGGAAATAACGTTAAAATTTGTTCAAATTTTAGACCGTATGGATACAGTGTGGTCACCAAAAAGGAGAGAAAAAAACATAGGGAGAATATTTGCCCAAAAAAAAATGTACAAATCTTTTCAAGGACAGCAGGGAAACAATGTGAATCATATTATTATGCAACCATTCGAAAATAGTAGAGAATAAAACATTACCTTTGGGGTAAGGTAGAGTTACAAAAAGAAATTGCATTGGAATATATACAAAAGAAATCTTTTAAAATCTTCCCAAGAATATCAGGGCCATGGATAGTCAAATAATACGTAAGCATCCCGAGGTAAAGCAGATTCAAGTTTTGTCAAATTATGGCCCGTGTTGAAAAGCTGGGATCCTCGTGTAGTATGGTTTCATATTTGATTAAGCGACATGTGGCAAGATATGAATAACAAAATGGTATCATTGTGAAGTTATATAGTGAAAAAATGTTCAGAACAGCGGGACCAAGATGCCTCTATTAAGCACTGTGTCTCTACGCCTCTTTTCTTTCTTTTGTAAATGTTTGTTAATAGTCAAGTTTATCTCTTAATTACAGTGCTCATTTATTTTCGGTACTTTCAGGTTGTACTGTGTTTTATATGCCATAGAAAACGAGACTATTCCACCAGAAACGTGTCATGTGGATCATATAAGTGTAGAAGCCAGATTTAGAGGGAGAGGCATAGGGAAAAGTTTGTTAGACATTGCTGAAATAGATGCCAAAAGGAGGGGATGTAAGGTAAAAGAAATTGTCTTTAAGACGATATTTATAGGCGTTTTTAACAGTTGATATATGGAGTAAAGTACCTAATCATGTATTCATTTGAAACGATGATTTTCAAATACCATAAGAAATTTCAGAACATTTTGCCTGTCACTGAAAAAAGAATCACTGTCTTTGAGAAGAAAAAAAAAAATGAAGCATTGGTATGTTCTCTTTTCCAGTTATTACAAGTATTTTCCTCATTTTTTTTGTTAAAATTAGCTTTAATATTGTATATCATTTTTGTTTTGAGGCTATATATTTATGGGTAGCAACTAGCAACCGGGAACAGCACCTGTACGAGATGCAGGAATATGTGATCATGGAAAAATACTCACTGTGTGGCTTAGTTTGGTGTCAGACTGGAGAAAAAGTTTGTATTTCTCGTTATCCTCTTCAACCGTGTTGGAGTCGTTGTAGATGTACCTATCAGTTTTGACAACATTTAAAAAAATACACAATACTGTAATGACACTCACTGTATATTTACTGTAATTTTATTCACTAAAATTATTGACAAAATTGATTGGTAGACTGGCTCAAGTGCTTCGCACATAAAGGGTTTTATGTGGAAACAAGGGCATCTAATTCGTTTGCCTTACTTATGCTCCAAAACAGTTGATTTACATGCATTTAACTAATCCTCAATGAGGTTAATTAAGCCCAATGTACACAGTACATATTAAAAAGTAAATGAAATAACGGATATGGAAAAATAAATAACATATGTATGTACCTTTCTTAGTAAATAATAATGTTGAAAACCAGAAGAAAACAGTTTCACTGGGCCTGAAAATCCCAATTTCCGTGCATTCAAATAATATTGGATAGCTGTCCTGATATTATTTCTTTGTCTTTGTCACAGCAAAGGGAACACTTTGTCTTGCATTAATCAGAATCAGCACAAGGAAAAAAATCAGTATTGAATTGAGAATTCCCACTGGGGAAAAGGCATGCATCATTAGCATTAATAGCAGGAAAGTTAATATTTTGCTATCTGCATAATAACAATCAAAACATCATATATGTACTTAAAATTTAGACAGTGCTTTTTTGTTTGTTCTTTTAAATGATCAGTCATTTAAATGAGAAATACATGTATAGGGTATTTTGTTAGTAACTTTTGGAAAACTTTAGTATTTTAAATCCATTCAAGCTTTAAAACAATGATAAAGGTCTAAGATTATATGCTTGAATTATAAGATGAAATTCTATATATCCCTTTTATGAAGCACATTGCCTATCATTTATGTACCTAGTGTAGCAGCAATCCTACTGTTGGTAGCATTGTCCTTATTAAATCGGCACATTAAATCGACAAGCATCAGCTAGCATTTTCAAAATTATAGATAAACAAACTAAGCATTAAAAAGTTATCATCAGTGATGAATAGTATGTTTGCTAAAAATACTATATTTCTGATGGAAATAGAAAAAAAAACTAACAATATTTATTTGATATATTTCAATCCCAAAATTTATCGTGTACTTTCAAATTTATATGACTGTAGTACCGGAGAAGATTTCCTGATTATATTAACTTTTAAATAAAAGATAAAAATAGGCTGTAAACGACACACATGATTGTGTTATTTAAGGACTGTTTACTTTTAATTTTGTGAGTGTTATTTATTAGTGTGAAAATCAAACAGACTTGTCACGTAGGTATATTTCATGAAGCGCGCTAGCATGATAAAATTATCATGTCAGTGTTATAAAAATTTCACTTTTTTGTAATGACCAGCCACATGATATTTTTCCTAAACGATTCATAAAAACCTGTCAATTTATATGAAAAGTTTATTGATATTGGTTTGAAGAAAAATAAATTTTTCAAATAATTGACATCATGTATGTAAATTACGAGTATTTCAACCCTGTCATTTTCCTAACAATCCTTTTCAATCTACTTCATTTCTCCTTTCAGGAATTTGCTCGCATGGAAAAGACTCTGGTTTGATATAAAATAATATGTGTACACTGTAATCATGTCAAATTTCTACAAAAAATGATGTGCTCTAATGTTGCTATAAGCAAGCTTAAAAATGCTATACTTTTCTATCCATATTTCTACTATCCTCTACAATTGGCTTGATAAATTAAAAAGATAGAGACAAAGTATCACTTTATCATAATTATGTAATATGTACAACTATACAAGACGGATATTACGAAGAATATCTGTAGAAATCTTGAATCACTTGTATTGTACTCGTAAAAGTAATAACTATGCACATGAATTCTCTTTATAAGTGAAAACATATCATGGTATTCACAGAAAGGTTATGTTTAATATACCTTTATCTGATGTTCCTCTAAAAATCGTAATTCCGGTGCATGGAATTTTGAAAGATTTATATAATTTTCACAGATTTTATGTTTTTTTTTTTTTTAATTTTGGAAATGTTTGAACCTTTATGAGGTAAGGATAAAAGATATATTTCCTATGTATGATTATTTTCTTAAATATTGAAATTCTGTCGTTTATTTACGTTTATGTATCAAATACCACTGTATTTATACTGTTTTAGTCTATTATTTGAAAATCTTTTACAATCGTGCATAATATGTCAAGGACTTTTGACAATCTTGATTTTTCACAATCCTTTTTTCCCATTTATTTTCCGTGTATTGTATATATATATATATATATATATATATATATATATATATATATATATATATATATATATATATATATATATATATATATATATATATATATATATATATATATAATATATATATATGGAGTCTTATTTTGGTTTTATTCAGCAATTAGATTGATCCATAGGAATCAAAACATGTACTTGCTTAAAAAAGTAGACATATTCCTATATGAATTTCTGTCCTCATTTCTTCATAGATCTCTTGCTAAGATAAGAATGCATACATTTAATTTTTTTTTTTCTATGAATTTTATAACTTCACTCCTCACAAGTGCTAGGATGTATTTTGTTTCATAAGAGAATTTGAATTTACTTGTGGATCACTTAGTGTATTAAAGTAAAAAATAGTGTTTATGTGCTATGTGAAATCATATTCTTGAAATTTTACACACTGATCTGAATAGGGTTGGATACCGGTACTCGGTACCAATACCGTACCGAATAGTTACTTCCAAAATACCGGTTAAATACCGTTTCATTTAATACCGGTACTAATAACTGCATTTCTTGATCTTTGAAACATTTTAATAGATTCAAAATGATTAAAAAAAAAAAATGAATTCTCCGTGGATTGAAAGGATAGTCTAATTGACAAAATGGATGTTTAGTACGATACTTGCTTTCGACTGCCGATATTCGAGGTAACTCAAAACGTATATTTAAAAAAAAAATACATTCACATTAATCGTGTTTAAATTTTATTAATAACCAGAAATCTCTGATGAGACTGTATCTCTAATGGTCTGCATGCACGTATTACAAAGGAACAGTAGCACGTGGATTTGAAACTATTATGTATCATTTTGTATCTTAGTGTAGTCTACTTGTATGCCAAAATATATTAAAATCAAAACTGTAGGAGGAGTAGCGTTTTAAATAAATTTCACAGAAATTTCTATTTTTAGTAACCATGGCAACACTGTTCATCAAAATCAAAAGCAATGCATCAAATTATGTATCTTAGTGTAGTCTACCTGTGTGCCAAGTTATATTTAAATCAGACCAAAACTGTATGAGAAGTAATGTTTTAAAGGAATTTCACAGAAACTTCTATTCTTAGTAACCATGGCAACACCGCTCATAGAAATCTAAAAACCGATGCACTAAATTATGTATCTTAGTATAGTCTACTTTTGTGCCAAGTTATATTGAAATCAGACCAAAACTGTAGGAGAAGTAGTATTTGGAAAATTTGTTGACAGACAGACTGACAGACACACAGACAGCTAGACGGACAGACGGACGGACACCCCCATCAGTATATACCCCCCTGCTGGTATAATAAGTATTGTCAATATACACAACTGACTGATAACCTTGATGTCGCAGTAGAAGAATATTTTGATTTTTGCGTCTATAAGACATCCATTTTTAACTATGGTTTCAGCCTTGAAAGGCCGATATTAGCTCTTAATTTTTTTTATTTGATATTTTTTTTTGCTGGTTTCAGAGAAAATGAAAAATATGTTTTATTTGAAAATAAGATGTTTTATGGTTTAATATTTGCTGTTAATAAGTGCATTATATACTGAAAGGAAAAAGAAACGCAGCGTAACATAATATGCGAAATTCATGTTACTGCTTAACCGAAAATTATGAAAAATGGTCAGAGGGATATCTTGGTTACTGTGCATTAAAATCAGTGTTCAGAATTACTCAACCAAGAAATGTATGACGTCACGTTCGGAAAATGGTAAAAAGCCGAAAACGTGCATATTGATGACGAAATGTTTTTCAACACATCTCTTAGTACCACTTGCTGCACTTAAGTTATACACATCGTTTTTCGGTAATTACGGACGATGTGCATTTCTTGCAATCATGATACGGTTGATGGAAGTTCCATGGGGTCTGGCTATTGCATTGCTTAAGTAAGGACAAAGGCAACAGCATGTTTCTGTGCAGTTTGTTGTGAATTTTTCAACCATAGAACGTCTTATCCGTCGTCAAAGAGGGCCAAGAAAGGTTTCCAACCAACCGTGACGATGACGTTGACGCGTAACAGCGCCAAGTCAAGATCGGGCTATTCATCCTGCCAACTGTATAATCACCATCACATTACCCTAAAACTGCTACTATTACAGTAGGCTATGATAGTTGTTAAATTCACCCCAAAACTGAAGGAAATCGATTGCTCGATTTTGGTTTGTGAGCTCGTCAATTTTACGTTGGTGTTCCTCTCACTCGCGCACACGTGTGTCGTTTGCCTTTTTTTGGGCATGTTTATCCCCATCACATTCATCCACTTGAATGGTCTCTGTAAAGTCCATCTTTTTCGCATTGAACATCTTTGGGACTACCTGGACGATAGGTTTCAAAATGCCCAAGCTGGTATCAATCAACTTAGGGCAGCCTTGTCGGAAGGGTTGAATAATATCCCTATTGGAAGGATAAACACACTGAAGAATTCCTTGCTTGGGAGAATCAAGGCTGTGACAAATGCCCGAGAGAGGCATGTGAGATAATGAGGATTTTCAATTTTCACTTTTGGGGGGTACCGTCATATGAGTTTCAATAACTCATGAATTATTGGGGAAAATCAAATGAGATTCTGGTTACACGTTTATTAAAGATGAAATTTTATGTTAGATAGGAACACTGAAAAATACGTCTTAATAATATAACCTTATTTCACCTAAAAAGTTTACCCTGCGTTTCTTTTTCCTTTCAGTATATGAATGTGTAATAATTAATATTAATTAATATTTCTGTTCTCGGATTCTACAATATAAATTAAACTATACTGAAATGAAATATTCTTCAACTCAATACATCGGCGACAAAATGTGCAAATGTTCATAGTACATAATATCGCCAAAATGTGCCGATGCGTGAATGTACATTTTGTCGTCATGGGCGACTATATGTTCCGATGGACGACAATATCTTACTAAATGATTTTTAAATAGCTAATTTTATATGTTAAATCATGTTTTCATTTCCAGACACATTTAAATTGTAAAAAAAAAATAGATGTACTTCAGACACGAAAAAGACGTTTTATTCAGAACCATACTGCAGAACAGTATATGTAATTTTAATGAACATTTATGGGGAAAAACCATCCATGGGAAGGAAATAATATCTTGTAAAATTTTCGGGACAGCCCCTCTTTTACTATATATATATATATATATATATATATATATATATATATATATATATATATATATATATATATATATATATATATATATATATATAACGATCACAACAAGGAATGAAAATATTCAGCAATTACATATTTTAAATCTTTCAGAGTTAAAAAAAAAATGAATCGTCAAATTTCAAGAATATATTTTTATTTATCAGTAAAGGTATATATTTTGATAATTTCGTTTTACCCTGTTTATAAAACAACTCAATTTTTATTTATGTTCATGAATTTAATGAGTTTAAATTGAAAGAAATCTTTTCTTAAAAGTTTCGAAGATAATACTTGGAAATTGAATAGTGTATGAATGTCTTTATAAACAAATCATGTACGTTTAAAAGTGTCAATCGTCTTATTGAGTATTGCTTGTTTGTTTTAACATTTAGTTTATGCATACCAAAAAGCTGTCTCAACATAATGTGTAGCAATTAATGTAAACAAAATCACACACTTGTCAAACAAGATCATTATTTTTTTTCAGTCTTGTTTATTAAATCATTTCACATTTAATATTACTATTATTATACAAACAAAACAATGAACTGTTATCAAAATTACATCAAATCTAATCATCATACCATATTATTTTACTTTCATGTTAAATACTAAAATCTAAACAGTTAAGACCATTTAACAATTCGTAATGTAAGATTCTTAACATATTTTCCGATATATTCCTATATAAGCTTTGATCGCCTGATGTGACCTCATGATCACCTTACTCCTGCAGGCCATGATTTGAACAACATTGGAATAACACTATTGTAAGACATTTATATTAAAATTTGACTTACCGTGGCTTTTCTGCTTTTCAGTAGATTTCTTAAGATATTCTTAATTTTGAATTTTTATTTTAAAATTTTGATTTTTTATTGTGGATCAACCTTTCTCCAAAGTCATGATTCGAACAATCTACATTTTAAATATAACTGACATTCATAACTTTGTTGTTCTTCAGAAAAAAAAAATGAAATATTTATTTAAAAAATATATTCCTTTGCAAAACAATTTTTTAAATTGCTTATTGTTCCCCCATCCTAACCCTGGGAGTCATGAATCGTTTTCGTTTTAGGCAAAGTGATTCTTCAGAAGAAAACTTTTAAAAGATGCCATTAAATTCTCACTAATTGTTAATTATCTCCCATTGAAAGAAGGCTTTTTGTTTGAATAAACTTGAATCCCAATCATGCAATGATACTGTTTGCCAATTTGGCAGACATTTACCCATTTACTCTGGAGAGGAAGTTGAGATTGTTAGACGTTTGCGACAACAATCTCAACGACGGTGAAAGTGCTAAAGCTAATTAGCGCACGTGTGATTAGGAAGACTAGCAGAAACAAACTGAAAGTTGTAGCTCTGTGGTTCTGGTATTTTCAGAGAAAAACTGCTTGCAATATAATTTTTATTACATAAAGAGAAATAGAATAAATATTAAATTTGTTCTGTAACTTTTTTGACTTTTTTTCAATCTTCAATACGGGTTTTGTATTTTTTCATGAATATAAAGCTTTATTTCTACCAAATGAAAAATGTTTTTCAATTTGAATCTTTATTCTAAAATGGATACTGAATGATATCAAAACTTAAAAGTGCAAAATTGTCTTTAACAATAAACAATAAAAACATTTGATCAACATAAAAATATTTCGACGAGTCTTATCTATGAATAATATTCATTTCCATTACTACGTTGATTCGATATATCCCTTTGAACTCGAGATGAAAGATACTACAGAGTCGGACACGTCTGTTTCATATTTGGATATTTACTAAAAAAATATAATGACCTTCTCAGCCAAAGCAGCAAATAATATCATTAAGTCCCATGTTGACTATTTTTTTTTTCGTTTTCCCGATCCTGACAAGGAGCACACGGCGGGTGTGACCGGTCGACAGGGGAAGCTTACTATTCCATGACACCTGGTCCAGACTTTGGAGGTTTTAGATGTCTTTCCTCTCTCAGTTCCTGAATTGGTTTTTATTTCGATGGACTTTTGAGCATGATTATTGTCTGTCATCTTCATATTTCGTTGCAAAAATGTATCTGATATAGAAGAAACGAATGACATCTTTAAACCTTCATTTTTTTAAAATTTTTTTTATTACAACAGGAACATAGGTAATGTGAATAACCAGTATCATGAATTCAAAATGTAAAGTCTACAGACCACACATCAAGCCGACAAATGCACGCAAGATAAGCTTCAATCAGAAAAAAAACCCACCGGATCTTTTATCTCAGGTAGAATAAATATGCCAAAACAAATTAAGAGAAGTACACAAAACAATGTGCTGTGGAAAAGGAGAAATCAATATAAGTTGAAGCAAATGTTTCACATGAAAAATATGAAATGTGTAATGTTTTGCCTTGTTCAGGATTTAATTTTTAAGTATGGAAAAAATTTGCATTACATAAAATGATCTGGAGCTCGATTAAGTTAAAATCAAAATATCTCCATGCTCGAGAAGGAATAAGTTAGTGAATGAATCATCATAGTATCTCATGTTGTTTCCCAGATAGCACAACAACGTTATTAAAACGTTATAAAAACGTTATGAAAATGTTATGAAAACATTTTCTAAAACGTTATTACAACGTTATTTTGTGTGGTTTTTTAAACGTTATTATAACGTTTTGCAAAAACATTGTACTGTAATGTTTTAAAAACATTTTTTAAAATGTTTGGAAAACATTTTTAAAAACGTTTTGGGAACATTTCTTAAAACGTTTTTAAAACATTTAAAAAATCAATTTTACAACATAATAAACTATATATTTTCTATGATTTAACAAATTTAAATTCATTCATTAATGTTGTCTAATTAAACACTGTTTTTTTTTTTAACACCTGCACAATAAAATTACAGTCTTCCTTCAAATGAAATTTGTACTGTTTGAAATACGAAAAGATCACAGCATCCTTATTCCATTAGAATTTAATCTGTTGTACACTTGGACTTCTCTATTTTCTCCTGAAAAACAAAGATTTGGACATAAAACTTTGACTAAATGATTACCCATTCATACTCGTACATTTCTTTTTAGTTAAATATATCCATATATTAGGGCATCTGACAACTAACTACACATACTAGTATATAAAAATCTGATAAACACAAAGAAAGTATGTTTTGGTATACAGTTGTATTAATGAACAAAAATTTACATGTGTAAATATATCTATATATTTCTGACAACCAACTTCAAATATACCTCATCATATTTAATAAATTCCTCCAGGAAGGTATGGATCAAACCTCTTTGTCCCACCTCTCATTAAATCATAAGAGATTGTCTTTGATGCTTTGTAAGCCTTGTAAGCAGCAGCTATTAAAATGTAATGTGAAATTCATTATAAGAAATGTGAATAAGTAAATGTATAAACATATTTAACAAAGGCGTCGAAAGCATATTAAGAGGGAGGGGGCTAAACCAACAAAAACGTTGTGGTGGGGGTGGGGGGTAAGCCCGAATTTTCACTAACTCTATTATGTCAATCTTTGCAAAAAAAAAAAAAGGGGGGGGGGCGTAGCACCCCCTAGACCCCCGGTTCCGACGCCTATGTTTAATAGATAAATGAAAACAACACAGCATTACTAGTATTTAGATCATTTTCCTTTTGCTGTATACATTTTCCAATGATTTATAAGTTGATACGTTAACTGAATCTTAATGCATTTTCTTAGAAATTATGGTGATAAAACTTACTCTTAATAATTCTTTAAAAGGGCGCACTTTTTAACCCTCTCTCCAGTCTCAGTGAACTGACCCATGCAATTGTTTGTATCATTGTCCTCATATCTCCACCCTGCATTGAAACCATTGCATTCATCTAAAATGAGTGTTATATTTTATGAAGAATGAGGATTTCAAAATCTTTGATTGCTAGCAAATATATAATCAAGCCTGAGATTGATTAATTAATTCCTCTCCTTTCCCTTCCAAAAGAAATAGGTTTAACATGGCATTGTATTCTGTAATACATAACACAAATTCGGAAAAATCTAACAAATCATTTTACATCTCTTAAGAATTATTTAACCTTGTCTTGTTAAGACCCCCTGCTACACACCCATTCCTAATCCCAACTATGTTTTAATTATGTTTTGAAATCCGTCACACATTTTTGATACATGTAAATAAACCCAAGTTTTCAAACAATAAATAGCCCGCCTAATTCAAATGCCAATGAACTTTATAAATTCAACTCAACAAACATATATACACCTAAATCTATGAGAATGAAAGATCTAAGATTCTAAATGCATATGTATTTACAGCTAAAATATGATTGATAAATATACAGAATGAATACTATTTAAAATTTAACATACCATACGTTGACATTTGTAAGATATTCTCCTATTCCTTTTCTTTGTCTTACAAGAATGCCGCCGGGTTTTTCAAAACTGTGATTCTGTTGACCTATATAGATCACATGGAAATAGTTTGCAACAAGGATCGGCTGCATCAGCCCTGACCATGGCATCCCGCTGTGTCACTCTCGATAAACACATTATCGAAGGGGGAACTTAATTCCCATAATAAAGACTCCACTGAATTATTTAATTCAGGAACTTTGTTGAACAAAAATTTTTCTTAGACATTTTTTTTACTCTCCTTGTTATACATAAATATATTTTTTACAATGGTATAAGAGATAAATATGAACACATTTCCGTGTTGTTGTTTTTTTTTTTTTTTTTTTTTTTTTTTTTGGTCACAACTCAAAATCAATCATAACTCAAAGTTTGGAGCTATTTACTACACTGTATAAGAAAACAGAAGTTTTTTTGATATAGGCCTATACATGTAACGTCTTACACTAAATAATTAAAAACTTCTGATGCTTGGAGTTGGTATTTCTGTAACGTTTTTACAATGTTTTGCAAACATTTTAAGACAATGTTGTATTCATGTTGTTTGGTAACATTTGTATTTCATGAAATTTATAATATTTATTACACAAGGTATGATTTTTTAAAATCATGCTATTCAATTTATAGCCACACAATATATTTTATCATTAAAGAAATTAATGTTAAATGCTAAATGTTTTCAGACAACCTCCTTGCAACAGGAACAAAATGTTATGAAAAACATTTTTAAAATGATTGTTACGAACGTTTTCTAATAACGTCTATACAACCAAAATAAAACGTTTTAAAAACATTTTATAAATGTTTTATGAAAAACGTTTTCAGATAACATCATTACAACGGGAATAAAATGTTATGAAAACGTTTTGTGCTACCTGGGTTTTGAGACATCAACTGGAAAAAAAAGTTTACTTAGTACTAGTGGTTATGATTTCATTTGTCTAATTTTCATAATCAATTGTAATTTCAACAATCAATTGTAATTTTAAGACGTTATGAACCCTGCATTTTAAAAGTGTACACAAATAAGATCAGGAAACCATACAAGGCGTACGTCGATAAATAAAGATCCCTCCCCCTCAAAAAATACTCTGCTATTCCCGATATTTTCACAAAATACCGAATACACATACATGTTTTAAAGGGATGATTGCGTATTCATGTTATCAATCTATCAAAGACCTCAGTTTCTGTTTGAAGGAAGTGGATGAAACTATTACTTGTTGCTGGCATAAACAAAACACGGAATTTATTAATTAAGTTTCTATAGAATGGATTTAAATATATCATTTACACTAATAGAGGTGATTGACAGTTAGATTTTATGAATAAACTTTTATCAAGAAGTTGTGTGTAAAAATAGCAACAAAATAAAACGCTGTATTTACATCATGTAATCTTATGCACTGACCCAAATAAAGCACACCACATACTGCACTCAGATTGAAAAGACGAGCTAATGCTTTATATGCATGATTGAAAATAGCTAATTTCTCTGAAGGATGTGATAATATCAGGTAAATATGACTTTAAGAAGTTAATCTTTCTCGAGGAAAGACACCGGCAATTAACAGATTTGTCAGTTTATGCATATATTAATGTTTTCATATTTAAATACGAAAAACGTGTCTAGACTAATGTACTTGTGTGGTGCATTATAAACAAATAACATATGACGTGTGAATACATAATGAAGGTAGTTATCTAATTTTTTTTCTGAATTTGCTAATGTGTAATCACTTGGACCTTCAAGTCCAAAAAATGAAAGGATGCTAATCCATAGAACTGTATTAGCCATTGATTGGTGTTATTACAGAAAATACTTCATTTGATTTAGTCGACAGGGGAAGCTAAACAGAAAACGGAAATGTAATGTCCCTATTAACATCTGACGAGAGGAAATAAAGAATAAATATGGAAGAGGAGAACGCTGAAAATAAGGACTGCAATAACGGACAAAAGCAATACAAACAGGAATCCGTAGAAAAAGTCATTGAAGAAACAGTGACCAGCGGGCTACACGCAATGGTGCTAGCTTTAGGATACAAAGTGGGCATTATTGATGCTTTTGAAAGATTAAACAAACCATCTACAGCTGTTGAGATCAGTGAAGAAGCAGGATTAAATCTTAGGTATTTTCTTTCTTTTTCTCATTTTCCTCCCTCTTGACATCATTGTACATTTATTTGTTATAATTTTATATGTTCATTAGCGAATACAAAAATACAAATACATGCACTTAATCTTTTTTGAGCCGAGCTTGAAATACACATTATATTAAATAGGACAATTTCAATCGATACTTTAAATGTTTTATGTTCATAAACCCAATTGCAATTCAAGGTTATTTGTATTTAAAAAATGTGTCCCAGTTTTTTTTCACCTTTAAATACCTTGTTTAGTCAAAAACTCGGATTGTTGACATCTGTTGCCTTTTGTGTTCTCTATCGATCATTGCTTCATTAATATGCACACAATTGTATGCACTAGGCATATCTCATAATAAAATTGATTTAAATTGCTTTTAATTATCTCTTTCACTATTTCATTCAAAAGTAATGCGTATTATTATTGTTAATAGATATGTACAAGAATGGCTATCTTGTATGACGGCGAAAGGCATTATACAACTGGAAAACAAGAAATTTTGTCTACCTTGTTCTGAACGAGTTCAAAAAGCTGTTCTAACATCTGCTGTGCTACCTATGTTCTGTGACTGTCTCCCTAAACTGGAGTCTGTAATGCGAGTCAAAGACAAAAATACTGGTCAGTGCTAGCAATTTTCTAGAAACTTGAATGTTTTGGTTTGTTTGTTTGTTGTTTAACGCCCCACTCGAGAATTTTTCACTCATATGGAGACGCCACCACTTGCCGGTAGAGGTCTGTAAATTTAAACCTATACTCGGCACTCAGGGCCATTGATCAGTGAGGGGTCTTTTTCGTGCCAATGATGCGACGCGGGGCCTCGGTTTTTACGGTCTCAACGGAATGAACGGTCTCCACATCCCGCAGTGGATTCGAACCTGCAACGTAAGGATTAGCTCCTTTCTCCGCGACTCAAGAACAGACGCTCTACTTACTGCCCCACGCATGCGACAGAAATTTGAATGTATTGTAGTCCGGTTGCAATTGAAAAAATTACCTTACTATGATCATTGATCAAGAAAATGACTTATATTTTCTTATTCTGTTTTCATAAGATTTTTATGTCTTTATTTGCGTGATGTGCTTTTTATGTAATTAATACATTAAAAAAGAGTACAAAAAGGATTTACGTAGTAAATAAAAGGGGATTGGGTTCTGTTGTGTGAGATTTTACACAAAACATGGAAAGAGAAAAATGGTTAAAGAAAAACCATCTTCTCCCTATACCACCTCAAAGCTAAAGATTAGAAACTTGTGTCAGTCTTAGTCGTAATGTTTTGGGTTATGATTTTTTTATTGATGAATATGGAAGTGTTTCACGTCTCCTCTATTGTTGGGTATCATGTCCAAAGTAAAACCTGACTAACAATCTGTTTTCAAAGATAATTATTAATGTAAGAGTAAGCCGATAAATTTCAAGGACATTGAATGTAACTACATTTTAAAATTGATCAACACGATACCCTATTCTTTCTGAATTCATTTATGCATATACAGGTATATTCTATAACATTTTATCATAGTAATTGAGGTGTATCAAATTTCAGATTTATGTTATAAATACTGGAAGGAGAAGGGAGTATACTGTTTTTCCCTTGTGTGTCTGTTTGTCCCTCTAGCTGTCTGTCTGTCCGTAAGAAATTTTGGTCACAGTTTTCTCAGAAACTCCTCATCGCAGATTTTTGAAATTTTAGCAGACTATTTGTTTTGGCATGCCATATGGTTGGATTCATTTTGTACAAATCTCTTGTCAACTTCCTGTTTATCCGTGCGTCTGTCCGTTCCGTACATAATAAATTTTGGTAGCAGTTTTCTCAGCTACAATTCATCGCAGATGCTAAAAGTTTAGCACGCTATTTGTTTAGGCATTCCATAGGATTTTTGTATGAATCCTTTGTCAACTTTCTGTTTATCCGTGCATCTGTCTGTACCATACATAACAAAGTTTGGTTGCAGTTTTCTCAGCAACTACTCATCGCAGATGCTTGAAATTTTAGTAAACTCTTTGTGTAGGCATGCCATATAGTGGGGATATATTTTTGTACAAATACGATATCAACTTTCTATTTATCCCTGTGTCTGTCCATGACATAACTTGTGTAACTTGTGTAATAACATCAGAGCAGAGGTATTATTAATGAGCATTGGCTCACAGATTTCTTGTTTGTTTCCTTCAACTAGGGTATCCTTTTCCCCAGAAGGATTTGGAATGGATAGGAAAATTTAACGAAATAAATTCATTTGACCAGCAATGGATTGAAAATAATTTAGGAACAGTTATCGAAAATCACTACAAAGACACCCAAGGTAAGAGAAGGGTGCGTCTTATTGTTATCATTTGTATTTATATTTGGTTTATTAATGGAAGCTTCCTTAATTCGAAGCATATTTCTGATGTTACATTTAAACTACTCGAAAATATACTTATCAAAGAGTAATCACTTTTTTGAAAGTTATTTTAATGTTATATTTGTTTACAATGCAGTAAAAATTGTATTTATTTGAATATAACAATAATTCTTTTTACAGAAGTCATTAGCGAAATTCTTGATTTTGGTTGTGGTTATGGAAAACTTTGTCAACAGCTAGCACAGGTCTATCAAGAGGTCAATATCACGGGTACAGACATTGACGAAGAATCTGTGCAACACTGTAGGAAAGTATACAGCTATCCAAACCTTTTTTTCACAAGCTCGAGAGATGGATCTTTGAAGCAGAAGACGTTTGATATTGTAATATTACACGATGTTCTCCATGATCTTCCGGATCCAGAAAAAGTTTTGTATGAGTTAAGAACAATCCTAAGACCTAATGGATACATCGTGACCTTTGATCCTGATATATCGTCTGACGTTTCTAAAAACGTCGGAAACGAGGCTGCACAGTCACATCTGCCATATAGTGTCTTCTTTTGTTTACCCAACAGTATGTCTGAAAGTCCAGCGATTGGACATGGGGCCGGATGGGGAGTTGAGGACCGCAAGAAATTTATAAGAGAGAAAGGATTTACCATAGTAAATGTTGACGAAACAAATGTTGAATCCAATTATTCAAGAATTGTGTTTAAATAAAAAACATAATAATATGCAAATGATGAAATAAAAATAAAAAAAAGTTCTTTCAAAACAGTTGTATTGCTATATTTTGTTAAATTAGATGGATTAAAATGAAAATGCTGTCCCAGAGAGGAACTCACTGCATGCATAGTACATGTGTTTTTTTTATCTATCAGGTTAAAAAAAAAAAAAAAAAACTTTGGCAAGTGATGTTTTAATATGCATTGCTTTCCATATATCTGTAAGTACATTTTTAAATGACAAAGTATCATGTACAACCTTAAGTGTTTCGGATAAAAAAAAGGAGGAGTTTCCGATGAGCATTTAAAAAAAACGAAGACGCTCAAATCCTTTTCATTTAGTGTATGCGTGATTCATTCATATTTTTAAAAAAATATTATAACAAATGAAATGGGAAAAAAAACTATAGAACGGTTGTGAAAAAGTTCACTTTCTAGCTTCCGGTTGACATATTGCTATGCCAAAATTACATGTTGCTTAACGATTGATTGATTGATTGATTGATTGTATGTTGTTTTTACGTCCCGTTCGAAAATTTTTCACTCATATAGAGACGTCAACTATACCGGTGAAGGGCTTCAAATTTTGACCTTTACTCGGCACTCAGGGCCATTGTTGCTAAACGAGATGTCGAAATGACGTTTGAAGACGGTGAGTCCCAATATGCAGTTGCACAACTTTCAAAATTCATCAAGAGCTCTGTATCTTTTCTTTGGCACAGGTACCAAAAATCCGATCCACAAATGAAAGGCTGCGAAATGTCCACCCATTCATTACAACTTGTCCATAACAGGTTCGCTACCTTCATGAAGTATATTTACGCAGCAGGGAAGCTACAGATTTTATTCTAAATTTGACTACTGAGTACTCCGTATACCTGATCAATACATGTATAGGGCTTACGATGGCTGTGACCTGTCAGTAGGAGATGATTATTCCTCCTAGGCACCTGATCCCACCTCTGTTGATAACAGGGGCCCATGTGTTTACCCTATTCATGATTCATTTTGTTTTCTGGATTTATGAAATTGATCACTGTTCGTTATCTTCAATTTTACATATAAGTCATGAATTTTATTTGATACCATTTCAGTTAAGCCAGAACATCTTTTCATGATACTTTAATTCTGGAATGAAAAAAAGTAAAATACTTCAGACCCAAACATGCCTTGTATTTTGGATAAATAAGTGCATAAATGAAATAAATAATTGACGAAAACAAAATATGACTTGCCAGCAATATAATGATAACTTCAGAAATTAATTTTTTTAGTTCACAAGTATGCACTTAAAAGCATACTTACTGCAACTATCCAAAGTCATTTGAAAATGAACTAATGCTGCTAAATTTGCTTCATGTCCCTTTGAGAATTTTTCACTCATGTTGGGACACTACTATTTCTCGATGACATGTTGCGCATTATATCTGCTATTCGGCAGTGTTTTTTTCTTTCCATCGTCTATTTCGACACCTGACATCGTCTCATCTAGAAGGTTTATAGGACACTTATGAAAATTTGAGATATCTGTGGCTTGGAAATTCTTTGATTTCCATTAATTTTTTTTTTTAAATTGACTTGAATAATATTAAGAAGTTATTTTTGTATGTTTGTAAGATAAAATATGCTAATTTTTCGATTCATATATTCAACAATGAAAAGAAATTAAAAAAATAAATTTAGCGTTTTTCTCCTTTTCTCCACCCCAAGCCATGAAAATGAGATATGAAGATAACGAAGAACAATCAAGCTCAAAAGTCTATCGAAAAAATACATATTGGGAGCAGCACAAAGACGGACCCTTATAAACAACAGAAGTGGGATCAAGTGTCATGAAGAAGTAAGCAATCCCCTGTCGACCGGAAACACCCGCAACGTACTCCTTGTAATGATTAGGAAAAAGGAAAAAATCCGTAGAAAATTCAGTGTGAAAATTATGACCTAACAATTCGAATGTTAAATGTCAGTCAACATTTTACTTAATGATAGATTGTACCATAGAATTTGCAAAATGTTGACTTTAAACAAAACTGTTGATATCTAGTTTTACAAATAATTATGTCAATAGCTTCCTAAGATGTAAAATTTCTAAATACCTCATGCATAGGCTGTTTGTATATGAAAGAAAATCACGTTTGCAACATCGTTCTAAGTATGACAAAACAAAGCGTACTGTGTAAGTTGCCTCCCATAAAATATCACAGTGCACTCTGTGCCTTCATTTCTCTGAACTACCAAAATATGACATCATGATGGGAAATGACGTCAAGTTACTGCCTACTTTAGCTGTTATGACGGGGAAGGTGTCATGAACTTTACACCTTCTTCAAACTGCATGTAAAATGTTCGATCACTATTGGAAATTCACGTGTCGTAATTGTATTTTAAATATAATATGTCCGAATATTTTTAAGATGCATCGCTTGTAACGGACCCTTGATTGAAATTCAGTGTGTTCAAAATGCTTTGGAAAAGTATACTTTTGAAATGCACACAATTTTTTGCACTACGTTTATGTCATAATAATATTGCTTTAAATTATTTTAGATTATCTCATTTACGACTTCATTAAAAAGCAATGTGTTTTATTGTTACTACATATGAAAGAGTTACTTACTATGAAAGTAGTGATGTAACTCTCAAGGTCAATGTCCTATTGAAAAAGGCTGGTCAACTCAATGAAAAGACTGCAAGATTTCACATTTAATAAAATTAAAATAATATATTTATATTAGTATGAAAAAAATACTTACCATGCAAGTAGAAATGGAAGTCTCAAGGTCAATTTCTTATTGAAAAAAAGGCTGGATAACTCAATGACAAAACTACATGTCTATCACTTTTAACAAACAAGCATGAATTGACCAAAAACACAAAGAAAACTTGGAGAGAAAAACAAAATCCAATCCAAAAGCATAATACAAACTAAAAAACAATGAAATTAAAAGATACAAAATGACCATGGCCAGAATATAATTACAGCCCTGAGGCTAACTGTGGACCTTCCTGGAAAAGAACTATTTAAAAGTCAATACACTTAACTACAGATTAAATGAATAATTATTTGATTCAGCTGTAGAAGTGTGCCACAAATAAGAAATATATACATAATTAAGTTAATGAATAAATGCATATGCAATATGCCTTGCTATGTACATGTGCATAATATATAAAACATGAGTCTGTCACACAAATAATAAACACCAATTATAAGTGTTGTTTCATTCCACTAGGGTATCCTTTTTCTCAGATAGATTTGGCATAGTTAAGAAATTTCAACAAAATAGATGCTTTTGACCATGATTGGTTTCAAAATAATTTAGGGCCAGTTTTTGAAAATCACTACAAAGATACTCAGGGTAAGAAAATTGCAAGTAATAATTGCATGTTGTTGTTATCTAAATCATATCTAATGTTTGATTTATAGAAATGGCATCAAAGCAAACCTTAAATTTGATATTAACCTTAACCTGAAAGACATTGGTATCAAAGACCAGTCACTATGATAGTAAAATCTCTGGAATTAATTCTCTGTACATTTCAGCAGAGGCAACAAATGTATATGAATATCTATTGCTTTGTTATCAAGAAATTATGCATAAACAAATAAGATCATGTTCTATTTACACTCACCATCAATGATAATCTTGATTGTGGTTGCGGTTAAAGGAAACTCTGTCAACAGCTAGCAGAGATCTATCCAGATATTAATATCACAGGCACAGATATCAATGAAGGACCTATACAACACGTATAGTTATCCAAACCTTTTCTTCACACTCTCGAAAGATGCATCTCAGAAGCAGAATGTTTGATATTATTATTTTACATGAAGTTATCCATGATCTACAAGATCCAGAACGATTTTTGGCAGAGCTGAAAACAATCCTGAAACCTAATGTATATATATTGTGATCTTCCATCCTGATTTATCGTCTGACGTTTCTAAAAATGTTGATAACGAGGCTTAAAGACATGTCTGTCATACAGCGTCTTCTTTTGTTTACCAAATAGTATGTCAAAGTGTCCGGTGATTGGTCGGGATTTGTGGACCCCGGAAATTCATTAAAAAAGTGAAATTACTATATTCAATGTTGACGAAACACATTTTGACATCATGTATTCTAGAATTGTTTTTAAACAAAGAACAACTTGAGATGTATATACTGTAGATTCCTAAATATATACGCGAGGAATTAATTATCGCGTAATTTCGCGAGAAGCACCACTCGCGAAATAAAATTACACGCTTTCATTTTTATGGTGCTGAAATCAATGTCAAATTTCTTGACCAACCACCCTCTCTTCAGCACTGTTATGGCTCAGTAAGGAAGCGGGGCCTAATTTACACGGGAAATGCTTACTATGACATCAGACAAAAATATAATTTCTTCAAATTATCACAAAATGAAATGATTTGCTATTTTAAACTGTTGAATACATGTAGCTTTAAAATACATTAATACTAACTAGGGCATGCATTATTGTCATTGGTTAAATCCCACACAGCAATATATTAACAATTCACTGATCGCAATGCACTTTTCAATGTGACGTCATATCGTAAAATTTGACGCAGTTGAATGCAGTGACAGGCGGATCAAGTTATATTTATACAATGAAAAATGTTTTTTGTAATTAAATAGAATATAAACTGTAGATATATAAGAAGCCATTAAATTGGATGCGATGTCTATTTTATGATTTTATTCATATATATACGTCCCGTACATTCCCTAGATAAGCGATACTGTCGTATATTTGTATGCAGATTCTTGAAGGGTAATAGAAAGGTCATATTAAATCGATATATTGCAAGGGCATTCCCTCGATGAATTATGACAAGCTTTTACACATAAACTCAAGAAGTATGAAGATATTTGAAAAGTGCTGCGAACCTGTTGAAATCTTGCGAATGAATTAATTATATCTATATTTAATGTACTTGACCAGCAAAATATTCAACATACGGTCTAACAAATGTAATTCTAGCAATTAGATAGTAGAGTCTATATAGCTTCGCAGCACTTTTCACAAACTACAAAGAGTGTTGAAAATAATTAAACTTAGATTTTTAGCTTTGTTATACCCTTGCAATATTAGAATTTATAGATGACCTCAATACTTCAGGTATATTTGCTATAATCAAGTGACTGCCACATCACGTGACAAGTCTAAATAAGAAATATAATCGTCCTCAACATGTAGTTTTTAACCACATTGCATTTGTCCGATAATAGTAAAGTCTTAAAAGGAAACGCCCATCCTTGTAAAGAATGTATTTCTATTTAAAAATTCACCAATATTTCTATTTGGCACCTTAACTGTACTGCGTCGCGAATTAAATTCTCGCGATTTGACGTTAAAGAGCCATTTCGCGATCGTAAATACTTGCGAAAAATAAGGAATCTACAGTAGTCAAATAAAAATAAGATATTCCGTAATTATTGTAGTACTAAATCTTGTTAAATGAGATTATTATGTAAAATTAACATTTCGTTGAGTCACAAGTAAAAAGCAGCATAATTGTACCTATCCAAAATAATTCGGAAAAATTATTACACAGATGTGATTTTGCATTTTTGTTTGTTTGCTGTATATCTTCTTGAAAATTGTTCACTCATGTTGGGACACAACGCCACCATTTGCCGTTTGAAAACTGCAAATTAATGCATAAACTCATACTTAAAGCTGTTTGCTTCAACTTAAAAAAGATTACAGTTAAGGGAAGATGCTACAAAAAATGATTGTACGGATGGGTAACATTTTTTTTTACTTATTTTGGTTGTATTGATGTATATGTCAAATTTCTCAAATATAAAGAAATAGCAGACTTTCCTCCTGTTTGGCTTCAACTTAATACATCTATACATTTTTTTTTAAAAAAAATACGTTATAGAACATTACTGAGAAACATTGAAAGAAAAATGAGTCTTTACGAGGCTTAAAGTATTCAATTTACAATTAAACATAACTTAAGTTGCAATTTTTTTTTATAATCACATATGTTGATGATTTTGCATGGCTTTATATCGCTCCAGCTCTTCTAATGGTATAGTAAACTTTCTTAAACTTCATATACTAGTATTACATATGCATCACAATCATTCATGCCACTTACATATTAATATAAAGACAAAGGTAAAAGATAAGGCATAAGTGTAATCATATGTCAAAGAACTTAGACATATATAACACGATGTGGATATTTTCTATTTCTATTTTAGGTATGAATACTTACAATCTTTCCTTATGATATCCTGCAAACATATGTATCTCATTTTCCTAATAATTTAACCTTAATTTAAAAATCATAAAAATTGTACTTTGTACATGTACTTTGCTGTACAACATATTTCATTTTAGGTGAAGGGGGTGTAAAGCTTTTTACGTCTTCTGAAAGCAGAATGAGTTCTCAAGTTCTCAACTTAAATAATTGCCAGATTATACAAATATATCATCATAAGATGTAGATTTAAGTTGTTTACATCACGTTTAATTTATTAGACATTTGTCACGAACAGCATCAAGGTATGCTGGATAATCTGTATCATCTGAAGGAGACATTAAATTGGATTAAAAAATTACAATAAAGTATTCACAAATTAAATAGGTTCTGTCTTTAAGACCAAATTAAGAAGTCTTCATAATAGAATCCTTAAAATTAAAACATTTAAAAAAAATTATTTTGCATGATTACCACATAGATGCATTTCTCTTCCTGTTCAAGCCGAATGCTGTCGGCTTTTTTCACTGTCTGCTTTTAAGGTCTGAAATGTTTTTCTTCCATAAATGTCTCAATATATTGTAGATAAAATATATTTTGCAGTATGCACAGCCTTCCTAACAACCAAAGCAGTAACATTTAATCCCTGCCCAGAGTCTTGGTACTTACATGGACGTTCTTGCTATGCTTTTGTCAGAGATCTCAAAACTGACTGGATTGAAGCGGGGGTATATATTTCTATAAAACATATAATTATAAATTTGAACGTAAAAACATATGATATGAATAATGTATCAACATCCATATGGATTACATAGGTAAAACTAGGAAAATGTTTTGTAATGAAAAAATACTTTCTGAATTTCATTATACCTAAACCTTCCAAAGAGCTTTGAGCATATTGCTATTATCCTCTTTCATGTGTCCATTTGTCGCACTTTCTTTCATGGGTTCTCTTCAGATGGACATTGTAGCAGAATGAAATATATAGAGATAACGAACAATATTCAAGCTCAAAAGTCCATTATACAATACAAAATAGGAGCAGAGCAAACACGGACCTCCAAACATCAGAGGTGGGATCAGGTGCCATGGAGGAGTGAGCATCCCCTGCCGACCGGTCACACCGGCCGTGTGCTCCTTGTTATGATCGGGAAATAACGGAAAAATCCGTCGACAATTCAGTGTGTAAATAATGGCCTAACAATTTGTATGAAAAACGTCAGTCAGCATTTGACTCAATGATAAATTGTATTTGCTGACAAGGTCATTGTATCGACCAAAGAACTTACGAAATGATGACTTTAAACGAGACCGCTGATATTCTTGTTTCATCAACTTATTTGTCAATAATTTACCTCGTTTTAGAAATTGTACATACGTAGAGCATGCTCTTGCGTATCGAATCAACTGAGAGATATATACCCCGTATGCAGGTGATGAAGGTATATTGCTGCATAAGTAAGGGAAGTTGACGATTGAAAAGTTAAAGTCATCACGTTTATCATAAAGCTTGGTTGTTAGATTACCATTAACGTCTTTTTCAAGTAAAATATCCAAATATGAAGCAGATGTGTCAGACTCTGTGGTATCTTTTATCTCAAGTTCACCAGGATATATCGTATCGACATAAGAATGAAAATAGCCATTGTTAATTGACAATACGTCGTCGACATATCTAAATGTCGAGTTGAAGGCCACAGCAAGTGTTTTCTTCTTTTCACGTACAAGATTTTGGACAAATTCTGCTTCATATGAATACAAAAAAAGGTCTGCTAATAACGGGGCGCAATTGGTACCCAGAGGAATTCCAATAGATTGTTGGAAGACCTGGTCTCCAAAAACCACATAGTTATTGTCAATCAGAAACTCAAGCATCTTTTTAATGTCAACTTCAGAGTACTTGTGTGTACAATCAGAATGTTTTTTAACAAAATAATTTTGCAAATGACCAATGACAAGGTAAGTATATTTACGAGTTCCATTTTTATTGAAAAAGCAGCTGTCAATGATATCAAAAAGCCTGGACTTTAATTTATCGTGGGGAATGGTTGTGTATAAAGTTGAAAAGTATAAAGTTTTTAAGCTGCTGATTTTGGTAAAATCTTGTGATTTCAAATTTTCCAAAAGTTTCTTGGAATTTTTAAGTATCCACATCTGATTTACACAACTTCTCGAATATATTGTTGCACAGTACTCTTGAAGTTTCTCCTTCACCACTGTTAATATCTTAGTGAGGAGTAAAGATAGAGGCTTGGTTGAACATTTACTGGAACCCGCTATGTATCTTTGTTTGTAAGGATTTTTATGAAGTTTCGGAATCCAATATAAATATGGTAATTCGAATTCATTTTGGTTGTTTGGAATATTAAAAATATTCAAAACTGACATATGATTTTGAAGAATTTCTTCCTTAGAAAGGGAACTATGAGTATAAGTTGGATTACCACTTGTAGAATTAAATCCAAGTACCTCTAAAATACATTTAATATAATGAGCCTTACAAACAAAGACAATGTTGTTACCTGCTTTGTCAGCAGGGACCAGTACGTACTGATCATGTAATCTATCTAATTCTTTTTTCACTTCTGGATTATTGAATACAGAAGGATAGATGGTTTTCATATTGCCTCTCAATTTTTTAATGCGCGATTTTAACATACATCTGATACATTTAATCCATTCTGACAAAGTGTCAAGGTCTTCTTTTTCATGTCTGGCCCATCGCCTGGCGTAGTCCTCTACAGAATCCATGATATTTATGAAATTTTTACGCCAGTTGAAGGATCTGGGTTCCCTAAATTTAGGACCATTTAAAATTAGTGATCTAAGGTTCTCATTATTAACTATATTTACGTCACCAGTAATAACGTGTCCAGCTGGACTATAGTTATAGGGTGAAAAAGAACATGAACACGATGGAGGATTATGTTTCAGATATTCGATATCCAGGCCCTGTAAAGTTTTCTTGTAATTAAAAAGTGTTGAAGCAATAGTCGATGTATATTTGTAGGAAATACAAGGTGTAGTCTTTAACTTGAAATATGGTGAAATACAAGACTGGACCCTTTTGTGATTAAGAATATTACTTATATTAACCGCGTCAATTCCTTTGTTGGCATATTGAAGTTTAAGGAAAAACGGATTGTTTTAGCTGCATTTTCTTCAGTAAAACGCGGGGGTTTAAAAAGCCTATGATTGGCAATATCCATAACTACAGATCCGAGCCTATATTCTGGTGTCGAGGAAGCAGAAACATTCTCTTCGCATTTGATTGATTTGGTCCTAAAGATGTGCAATAAGGTCTTGAACTTTCATTTTCTGGTCCAAATTTTCTAAGCAGGCAAAACAGATGTCAAAAATTAGGCTTCTCAACACGACTCCTCTTACATTTAAGTGAAAGAAAGAAAAAAAAGCAATTTTGTTTAATACGTAGCATGTCATGCATATGTTAAGCTTATGATTGATTCAGCATGACATGTGATTGTGGACAAAAGTTTTAGAATTTGATTTCTAAGGGGCTCCTTAGATGATAAAAAGGATTTGGTTCTTTACGAATGTGTGTCGTAAGAGCTTTTTGTGTTGCATTTGATCTACAATTTCCAGAGGAGTATTAAGGAACATGTGCTGGGTGCAAATTTATTAGCTAAAAGTCCTAGCTTGGCCAATTCTGCACAAATATTCTGCACAGGTATCCTTATATTGGCTTGGCCAATTCGCACATATATCCTTATATACATATTATCAGTCACGCTTAGGATTCTGCAGAGTACGTATATTTTTCGGATGAGTTAGATCAAGATGTTTTAGAGAAATTCAGTTCTTTTGTGATTGGAAGTTCTACCTTGACTGTGACACGGGCTTTGGCTTTTTGAAATGCATATTATCACTTAAGTTTTAGTTCTACTTGTGGCCTCTGCTCTTAGGATGAGTCATCACTGGGGTACTTTTGGAGGATGTTTAATCCCAAAATTTTATAATTCCTACCTTAAACAGTGTAGCATAGATGTTAGTCATGTTGCTGATGCTTCATGTCACCTGTATATTCGGGATGAGTGAATTGGTTTTGCTATTTGAAAATAAATTTTAGACGCCACCACTTGCCGATGGAACACTGCAAATATTGACCTATACTCGGCACTTCGGGCCATTGAGCACTAAGGGATCTTTTTCGTCCCTGCACCTACTGCAACACGAGACCTCGGTCTCCACGTCCCGCAGTGGGATTCGAACCCACGATGTAAGGATCAACTTCTTACACCGAGACTCTAGAGCAAATGCTCTAACCACTGCTCCACGCGGTTGACCATTTTAGAGTAACTTAACGCTCAAAAATGACAAAAATTGCATAAATTTGCTTTGGGCTATCCATGATCAGATGTTTACAATTTCAACTAAACTTGTACAACTAAAATAAGAGGGCAGGGCCATCTGTAAAATTTATTGAGACTTTTTTGCCAAGTATGTTTAACTAAAAGAAAAGTGTTTGAAGTAACAGCACATGGATGTAGAAGTGGATTGCAAATATTATACTGTCATTCCAGATTGAAGATTTTAATTAGTTCGGAGTTGTATTTAGTGTTTCATCTCTTCTTTTATTTCATGCAGGCGTTTTGTCAGAGGTTTTCTTCTCATCTAGCAGAAATCGATACACAGGACGAAGATAATTTTCTGCGACACCATATATCATCAAGTCATGGTAGGAACTCGGAGAGAGAGAGAGAGAGAGAGAGAGAGAGAGAGAGAGAGAGAGAGAGAGAGAGAGAGAGAGAGAGATTGCTATAGTAAAAGAATGTTCAAAAATGTTTTTAGACTACCTCATTAAAGCACCAGTCATCTTGTTTTGCAGATACTTACTGGGTGGGTGCAACAGACGCGTTTGCAGAAGGCCAGTGGGTATGGGTGACGAGACAGCGCCCGTTCACATACGTAGGCTGGTCTCCAGGGGAACCAGTTAATGGTGTTAGTGCAGCGTGCATGACTCTGGCGGGAAATTTAAACCATCACTGGAACGATGATTATTGCGATAAAAAATACAGCTTCATATGTGAAAAAGAGTAATTTTTTTCCAGTTTGTATGGCTATTTCCGCTCTATCTTCATAACTGTTATGTTAAGCTGAATGTATTCAAATGTTTTTATCAATCCTCAATTTGGTGTATACAAAAGTGCAAATGTACACTTTTGGCATGGAAAATAACATTCAACGTACATGTAGATTTTAAGATTCAGAATAAAGTGATTGAAAAATAATACATTGAATAATTATTTTTACATTAATATCTTAATGAAGATGAGGAAATTTTCCTTTACGGCATATACTAATTGTGATTTAAAAAAACAGTTTTGATGAATTTTGTTTTTCAACTCTGTTTTTTTTTTTTTAGAATTGAACTTGCCATGCACGGGGACTTGGTTGGATGAATTTTCCATTATGGTGCCAGCTTTTAATAGTAAAAATTATTACCTCCTGGTTATTTTTTTTATAGGCCAATAAAAGTTGATCATATTGTGATTCGTCGAGTTAGCGCATCTTTTGTTTACCAGTGTTTGTTTTCAAAATTTTCCCCAGCTTTCTTCTTATTCTTACGTCAATGATAATACCATTATACTTTAGATATTAGATGAACTTGTGCTTTTCATTTAAATAATCTAACTATATAGTCGTAAAAACACCTCACAGGGAGAGCAATTGTAGATCTTTTAATCTAATTTGACACAGTGATTATTCTTTCATGGTGTCTGAAGCTTCAAGTCATATCGAAAATGCCATTATTGTAGTAAAAATCTGTCAAAACTGAATGTTATGTTAAATTAAGTATTTCATATAGAAAAAGAGAAAAAAAGAGAGGAAAACTCTAAAGTACTATTTAATCAGGATATATCAGGAAGTGGGTATCCATGTAAAAATGAATTTCTCTGTGCTTTCTATATATATATATATATATATATATATATATATATATATATATATATATATATATATATATATATATATATATATATAGGATAGAAGCATATCATTCTGTGGTGAAAGAAAAGGTATAAATTGCAAAAGTCAATTTGTCTAGTTGCAAGGAATAAACCTTTTAGGGTTTACAATCCCTCTTTTCACTCATATAAAATGTTGCTTTAATTCCCAAAAGAAATTTAATTTATGAACTATATATATATATATATATATATATATATATATATATATATATATATATATATATATATATATATATATATATATATATATATATATATATATATATATATATATATATATATTATTTTATGAACTAAGAACATCTTTACACATGTACTACCTGTATTTGAAACTTAATGAGAAATATCAATAGCGGATTTTTGATGGTTTGTAGTTGGATATGGAATTCATTTAACGAGTGGGACAGGATTTTAATAAATATATTTTTACGATTGAAATAAATTCCATATTCAACTATAAAATCTTGAATTTTCTCTTCATAACATTTTCTAAGATTTAATTTCCCTTCGCCTCTGTCTTTTCTTTACACAGTGTCATAGGCTGTGATGTCATAGTTCAGCGATTGAGAAATTTTAAAAAAAAAATGCAAACATGGGTATCAACAACATTTTGAAAAAAATTAATTTTCGTGAGGGTTTAATTTACGTTGTTTTTGTGGTATGACGACACTCATGAATTCATATCCCCAATGAAATATTAAAATCATATACTGCAGTATCATGTTTCCCATTTAACCCGGAAATCAAATATCTCGAACCAGTATTTTTTCGTTAAACCACAAAGATTTGACTCCACGAAAATAAGTGATTTTACATATACATTTAGATTGATTGATTGATTGTTTTTTTTTACGTCCCATTCGAGAATTTTTCACTTATATAGAGACGTCACCATATACCGATGAAGGGCTTCAAATTTACCCCTATACTTGGCACTCAGGGCCATTGAGCAGTGAGGGTTTTTTATCGTGCCAACTCCTAGCGTGACACGGGACCTCGGTTTTTAAGGTCTCATGGCAAAGGAACAGTCACTACCTATGTTTACATCTTGAATCGCGGCCTCACGATCACGAAGCGAAGGCCCTTCCACTAGGCTACCGTGACCGCTCAGTATATATCTGGGGAAACTTGGTTCGTTTTAGTGTCCTTATTTCGTGTTATTTTCTTTTAGCTGGAATTGTTTGAATGTTACACTGTACTACAGATCTCATATTTGTTATCCTTGGTGAAGAACCGTCACAATATGTTTGGGTTGAGTGTTGAAGTTTCTTTTTCTGTAATAGACCGACGATACTGTTTTTTATTATAGATTTTTTTGATAAATGTAATTATGTAGAGAGTACATAGATTTGAATTAAATATAGACTATATAATTTGTTTATAAGAACAAATCAAATTGATTAGAGCAGTTTGTAAAAAAGCGCTAACTATTCCAACAAAGGTTATACATGTACAAGTATAGCTTAGATAGTTGTTAAATCTATATCTTATAATTTAATTTTCTAACATGAAAAATAAAAATAAAACAATGTCTCCTAAAATAGCTTCAATTTGTACAAAATTTAAATGAAATGTCAAGCGGATTGACACGTTTTTGACGTCAGTCATATTGTGACGTAGGTAACACAGATTATACGATATTAACTAATTTTTTCAGCCAATCTAATTGCGTGATACAATCAAAATTAAATTATTCAAATTAATACCAAGTTTTAATGATATGAATTCTGCGAGATTTTGTTCTACGTAAGAAAACATACATACAGTGCCATTCACCGTCCGTTTTCTAAAGTTTTACAAAAGTATTTTGAATGCCAGTGTTATGGTAAACAGTCAAACACTATTTCATTTAGAACGATTGGAATTGGTGAATGAATTGTGTTCTAATTCCATTCTTAACGCGACATTATTTCTTATCATTTGGATTCTACTGAGAGAGATAAGTTCGAGTGAATACTTTAACAATGGTATCTACTCATACCTGCCAATGTATCTTAGCTTTTTTGATAATTTTCCAGACAGGAACAGTTCAAAGCAAGATGCAAAATTTTGACAAGCTACTGGGAACATTCCATCAACAAGAAGAATTATTGATAAGTCTTAGAGAAAAGATAGAGGAACTTACCAAAACTGTGAATGACTTACATATTAAAACCGGGAAACAGGAAAAAACAATTAAAGAACTTTCGATCAAAACTGCCACTCAAGACTCGGAAATAAAAATTTTGCGCGATGCCATTAATAGTATGAAGGAATATTCCAGTGCAAATTCTGTGCATAGCCCTACCACAGACCAAGATCAGAAACGAAATGGTTCCTATATGACAAATTTTGAAATATATAAAGAAAGACAGAAAATGCAGGACCTCAAAAAGGATGTTAAACAGAGACCCCCCTGTAAGTTTAATATTCTTGTTAGTAAATTTCAAGGAAGGTGCAATTGATAGAGTATGACAATTATCTTTTCGTATAATTAATATTTAGATTTTTTATTTGTAATATCTAATATATACAAATCACTGCATGAAAATTTGGCTTTACAAAACAAGTAAAGATAATGTAAATCTATTATTTACAATGCCTTTAATTGGCTTTTCTGAAAAAAGTCAAAGTTGGAAAAGGTAACCTTTACATTAACTTTACATACACTTAAATATGATGTAATGTCCCACTTTTTCTTGACTTTACAAAAAAGTAAAGTTAATATTTACAAACATTAAACACAGTATTTGGGGTTCATTAAAGCTGATAATTACAAATCTTAAATTTAATTAAATATCATCTTTAATAGCCACAAAAGTTAATAATTACTTTTTCCATTCTTCTGAATAAAGCTTATGCATATAATAAATAAGCTTTTCCTTCCAAATTGAAACTGCAAAAGAAGTCTGGACATCATACTTAATATGCAAAGTAACGACAGATTGACTTAAACTTTCTTTATTACTATACCAAACATCAAATTTCTTGACAGTATCTGTTGTTCATAGTCTATCCTGCAAATCCCATACACATAAATAAGTATCCAGGACAGACCACATTTCACCAAAATCCTTTTCAAACATGTCATTTTGTTTTGTATAAAGAACCAATTGTTCATCCTTGAATTTAAAGATTTGAATTGACATGAAACTGTGCTCCGCTTTCTTGTTACTGAACATGCGTTTCTGTGGAAATCAAGTGGAAATCAACAACTGTCCAAATATATATTTTGTCACATCTTCCTTTTCAGAGTCCAAAACTTTTATTCTCATGCAGGCAGTCTTCTATTGTTTTCCTTCAAAGAAAAAAAAATATATATTTTCAGTGACATGAATATGAATATTTTCATAGGCATCTGTGTTATAAATTCAAATAAACTCTGATATCAGTATTCACAGTATCATGACTAATGAAAATTGAAACAAGATGCAACCATATTAATATATAAAAATTTCATACATGACCTTTAACCTCAAAAAGAAAATATTTTGAACCATTAATGTCAGCCTTTATTTTTACCAAAAAAATGATGCTAATCTTATCAAATAAGACAGATACAAACAGATGAACATGTTGTTATTAACTTATTTTATGATATAAATGGACTGGGCCACTAGCCCTTATCTTACCCCTAAGATTAAAATTTAATAACTCTGTAATTTCTTTGTTTATCATTACCTAATTTTTCTTTTGAAAGGATTATTTACAAAATACACTAATGTAGGAGTAATATAAGATTTCTCGTGACCTTCTGTAGCTAAGATACTTTTGCAGAATTGGAAAATGTTTGTCTTACTTGCAAGATAATTTGTGAAAAAGTACTGGCATGAGTATCTATGGATAATTACTGAACACATATAATTAACTCCATTTTCCTTCTTAGTAATCAGGTAACAAAAGGACCAATAGTTGCTGCTTATCGAGCTATAGTATGATACTCAAGTTATGGTTTAGGATATATGTACCTTTCTCCAAGTAGCATGTTGCTGCTCATGAATTATTTCTTGATCTTGGAATTGTAAAAGTTGACAGGTCCCTCATTTTGAAGATAACATGCTAAAATGGAATTCATCCTTTAGATAAACATTTCATACATCTGGATAAATATAGTCAATGTTTTCATAAATACTTTTGAGTTTGAAGCATACCAAAGAATGATTTTAAAAATACACAATGCAATCACAGTTAATAGTTATGAATTGCCAAACACCCTTATGTTTGTTTTCTTCACAATTAAAGAATACTTTAGGTCTAAGCAATACTTGCCATCTATAAAATTAAACTATTGAACCCTTCTCAAGTGTTTCTTCTTCATGAAAGATCTGTCAATAAGGTGTTAACTCTCTCACAGTAAGCTGAGTAGATGGAGCCTGGAAAAAGTAGTAACACATTTTTTGAAAACAGAAATGTATAATTATACTGACTCCCGAACAAGTCAAGCAATTGATAATGTAAATAATTGTTTAAGTAACATTTTAATGATACCATTTATTGATTTTTTAAAAACTAATATGTACAAGTACCATCAAAAAACATTGGTATCCCTTGGTCTGGTAAATTATACATTGTTGTCATCCATGACTTTTTTCCTTCAAGAACCTGTATAATTGATTTCACTGTACCTGTTTTTGAAAAATGGACATGGTTTAGAATACAAAATAATATCTATAAAATATAACCTAACTTGCCCTCTATTAAGAACATGGCCCCTACCCTGGCTTCTATTTTTTTTCTAGCATTAATGTAAACAGCTAAACATTCTAAAACTGTGACCTAGAATTGTTTTTTCTTGGTCTTGTTTAACCCATGATCCTTTACAGAAAAAAATGGAACATTATCCCTAATTTATCAAGTTACTTATCTAAAATACATATTTAGCGTAGTTTTTCCTGACTTTCATCAGTTTCAATGTTCCACAATGTATGCTGAAAACAGATGGAAAACGTAAACAAACCTGCAGTGCACGCCAGCCCGGGAGCTCGAGCAGTTTTCCAAGCAATAACCTCCTTAAATCTACCGGTAGATGAAAAGGTATTAAATCAACTGATCACTGGTTGCATATTTTCGTCAAAAATACCAGAAAGTCCGATGAGACCCGCTCAACTTGATTTGAAATGATTGGCTATTCAACCGAATACACAGTGCCATATTTGGGTTACTGTTAGAAGTAAATCGTTCGTTTTGTATTCAAGAAGACTTGAATGAAGAGGATTACACAATACTGCGGTGGAAAACATCGGTATAACATGATAATATATATTTCAGTATTTTAAAGTAAAACTTGTCAAATGAACAGGACATATTACTGATATTACCTCATATAAACAAAACCAATAAGCGTATGACTTATTCAGGGCACTTGCAATGTATGGGAACCAGTCTACAAGGCCACAAAATTCCGCCAAGAATAAACAAAGAAATTGCGGGATGTTGTTTACGTGTGTCACTCGACACTGACTGCAAGGTGATGAAAATGTGCTTAATTGTTGTGTATAACTTTTTTCTGTCTTTCAAGATATTGAACAACAGTCTTTTAACATTTCAGACGTAACATCTGGGGGTGGGGGGTGGGGGGAGGGGGGGAGAGAAGAGGGGTCACCTCTTAATTTATATTGTATCTACTACCACTGTGTATCATTGTCAAGATATAATAAATTGAAATGAAAAAAAAAATCATTAAAAATTTTGTTATAGATTTAGGACAGCTAAATAAAGGGGCGACTATTTTTTGTTTGATGCGGGGGGGGGGGGGATGGATTAAAAATATATTAACCTCAAAAATGTTTAAAAGATATGATCTCATCTGAACTAAAAAATTGAATAATAATCTTTCCTTGTCTGATGCCACTAATTCCTTTACCTCAGTGAATTAAGAGTTTCTGAGTCAGTTTATTTCCTTTTGTAGTGGCAACGGGGGGGGGGGGGGGGGGGGGGTCAAACTTTGTTCATTTGAGATAAACATGAATAACATGTCTCTGATTATTAAGGAAATCAAATATTCTATTCATTACTGGCTGGAAAATAATTAATCTGACTTAACAGTCAAAAAATTACCTTTTCATAATTTATCTTTTGTAGAAATGAAGAGTGGAGAGTTAATGCATGGTGCCAAGTATGGAAAGGTCTCTTGTGGATTGGTTGTGCCAGAGACAAATGTACATTATTTCCATGTTGGGTACTGTCCTTAAGAATCAAAGTTTTTTTCAATTACAAGGGACATGACTTTTTCATATGTTATCACTGTACAGAGATCAAAATATTTTTAAACATTGTTAGGTACTCACTCCATTATTCCATCTTTAGAAAAGTATTTAAAATTATTTTCTCACATTTTTTAAAGAGACCAATATGGTGAAGAGATTTTTTATTTTAATCTTGAATTTGGATATTATACAGGTCAGAAGTTTCGGTACACTTTGGGTGAGTGGCAATTGGGATGACCTTCAGATAGTTTGAGATGAAGAAGTTTTTTTAAATGATTGAAAGTGATCATCATAGAATCAACTCCATTATGAAGATAAATTATGAGAGTCAGGTGAGGAATTGACTTCAATGTGTTATCACATTGTGTAAATGAATCTTCATTATTAAGATCTTTTACATTTTATTTTTATGTATGAACTTGCTTTTCTATTATTCTAAACTTCCAAAAATAAAATTAAAGTAGTTAAAGCATGCTACAAACATTTTAAGTATCTTGGCAAGTTTTCAGGGATATTGCAGATGTGCTTTAATTTCAAAAGATAACTAATTAATGCAAACCTGGAAAAGAAATGGATGTTATTATCTATAATTTCCAAGATTATGTTTATTATTAGCACTCCTTTTGTCCAACACCCGAGAGATCTGAGTATCCATCCTACTGTTGAATTAATTGGTGACCAAGAAAAGATGACAGAGAGGGGAATCAAATATGGATGCCATCGTGATCAAGAATATACACACTGACTAGAAAATATCTGAAAATTTATAGATGAACATTCAAGCATTTATAATAATGAAAGTTATTCAGCAAGAGAGTTTTTGTACAAGTTTAATCTCAGTAAAATTGTGTATATTGTGCACAGAGGAACTTAGTATGTAACTCATTATGATTATCCATTTCTTAAGAGGATGTATTCGGAGTATATTTAAATAATCATTATCTTGTAGAAAAGAGCACACAAAACTTTTCTCTCTGTATGAAGCAAGACACATATACATACACTCAAGCATTAACCACAACCACAGTTACATGTTTTCCAGGGCATGTGAAGTCGAGCACACACAACATCTACCACAACACCAGTTACATATTTTCCAAGGCGTGTGAAGTCGAGCACATTCATGAAAATGTGTGAAGCTGGACACATATGCAAACACACAAGCATCTACCACAACCAATTACATATTTTCCAAGGCGTGTGAAGTCGAGCACATACATGAAAATGTGTGAAGCTGGACACATATGCAAACATACAAGCATCTACCACAACCAATTACATATTTTCCAAGGCGTGTGAAGTCGAGCACATACATGAAAATGTGTGAAGCTGGACACATATGCAAACACAATATCTACCACAACACCAGTTACATATTTTCCAAGGCGTGTGAAGTCGAGCACATACATGAAAATGTGTGAAGCTGGACACATATGCAAACACACAAGCATCTACCACAACCAGTTACATATTTTCCAAGGCGTGTGAAGTCGAGCACAAACATGAAAATGTGTGAAGCTGGACAGATATGCAAACATACAACATCTACCACAACACCAGTTACATATTTTCCAAGGCGTGTGAAGTCGAGCACATACATGAAAATGTGTGAAGCTGGACACATACGCAAGCACTCAAGCATCTACCACAACCAGTTACATATTTTCCAAGGCGTGTGAAGATGGACACAATGCAAACATAATCTCTTACCACAGACACAATACACATAACATTTAATCCAAAGTATAAAGTCAAGCTCAAACAGGCTCACTGCGTGAAGCTGGACACATGCATTTACTTATGCATCTTGCAAAACTACATCTGAACCTATATTCTAATAGGTGTTTAAGCAATTTTGTTTATTTTGTGAATATGTAAATTACACCATTATGCTTACAAGATGTCAACATTATTAACCTGTACATAAATACTCATTAGATAGCCTTTAATTGTTTAAATTGGAAATACTAGTACTTTGCCTCATTTATGTTGTGTAGTTTCTCATCAGTGCGCAAGTAGGTTAAGGCTTCCCGTAGAATATGACAGTGCACGCTGTGCCTTCACATCTCTGAACTACCAAAATATGACGTCATAATGGAAAATGACGTCAGGTCACTGCAAACTTGAGGTGTTATGACGGGGAGAGTGTCATGAACTTTACACTTTATTTCAAACTGGATGTAAAATGCTAGATAGCTATTGCAAAATTCACGGGTCGTTAAAGGTTTTTTAAGTCTTATATGTCCGAATATTTTAAAAATACGCCGCTTACCTACCCTTGATTAAAATTCATCATGTTCAAAATGCTTATGAAAAATATACTTTTGAAATGTACTCTGTTTTATACCCGTGGCTGGAGGTAGAATTTATTTTGTGTGTATAAAAGAGTCTGGCACAGGTGATTAATGAGGATTAATCTGAGAATTTTTGTGAAAATCTGTAAGAAGAAGTTGTTCTCTAACTGAATCTTGCTTGGGAAAAATGTGTGCTGGCTTTGTTTTAATACAGACTACGATATTGTCTGGAAAATACCCTCAAATTTGTAGGTAAATTTAATTTCTCAGGAAATATTTTGTACCCAAGTAATACTATGACTTTTCCCAAGCACATTTCGGATACACAAGGATACGATGAGTTTATTTATATAACAAAATGTTAATAATTATTGTGTTAATCAGCTGCGCCGAAGCGATTTATATGAAACACTTCAAAAAATTATAAATGACCGTCACGTGATCAACGAAGTCATGTGATATCATAACAAATATGCTATTATATAGCCGAGGAAACCCTTTATATAAATTGGAAGTACTAAAGTTCAGTACTTATAAATTAAAACCAAAACCGACCTCGCAATGACATATTATGTTTTGAGCGCATTTTAAAGCTTCGGGAAGCCTTAACATAGCTGCGTGATCTTGAGTAATAACTGAGTAAGGTATTTTTAGTTCCTTTTAAACTGCGAAGTTTTAACACATGTATATGCACCATAAAGGATAAATAATATTGTATTTTAACCTTTTTAATTTTATTCTTTGTCATTTTATTGCCTGTTCTAGTAAAAGATGTAATCTTGTAATGTTTGTAACTGTTTTTGGTAGATATTTATAAAGCAGAAATTATAACAGAAAAGGTTTCAATATATCTAAACTAAAAGCAAATAAAAAAGAGCTCTCCATCTATCAGATATCAGCAAATCAGATAAGTTAAAGGTTAAGTCATAGGTAATTTTAAAGTTTAATATACCTATATTCTGATATCTGATAGCATTTTTGCATTTGTGATTTTCCGTCTACAGTATACAAAAGTAGTATAATTTTTTATATTTTGTAGATGACAATCTCTAATACTAAATACAACTGGACATTGATATAACGCTTGAAAATTTGTGTATTTTTAGTAAGATCAAGTTTATCAAAATGGGATGGGGGTAACATAATAGACACATCAGATACCTATTTATTAAAAGTCAAAAGCGATTTGTTGAAATCTTATACGAGTGTATTAAACAAAAGCCAGTATTCAAATAAGGATTTAAAAAAGTTTCATATATATATATATATATATATATATATATATATATATATATATATATATATATATATATATATATATATATATAAACTTTAATGCAGCATTAAAGGTGAAAGGTTAAATTTAATTACCTTTTCGTGTAAGTAAAGATTACCTTTTCACCTTTACTTTTTGTAAAGTTAATACAAAGATGACCTTGCTTTTTGGAGCACCTTTAATGAGATTTACTTTGCAAGTAAAGTTTTGTAAAGGTGTTTTTTCAAGCAGTGAATGTTAATATATAATACATGATATTACTATATCGAGTATAATTATTTCGTTGCAGTTGTTATTTTTATTGTTATAATATTGTATCACTTCGTGGAAAGTACTATAATTTTGGATAATTTTGACATTCAATCTTTTGTAGCAAGAGAACTCCGACTTTTATCCCAGAGTATTCCAGACAATGAAATAGATAACCAATGTGCATTCTACGCCTATATGAACAAGGACGAACACACATTAGCCCCTCACCATACACTTATTTTTGATGTCGTGAAGACAAACATCGGAGACTCTTACAATAAGTTTACTGGAGTTTTACAGTTCCATCAAACGGGATATATGTCTTAACTTGGAATATCTACTCAGACGCCCGCAGTTATGCCTTTTCTAACCTCGTTATCAATCAAGACATCTTGAACAGTGCACTTGCAAACTCGTACGACAATGGTGATCGTCATGCATCCACTGGCATAGTCGTTGTCCCCTTGAATAAAGGTGATGTTGCGTTTGTCAAAACGCACAATGCAATCTCTGGAGTTGGAAATATAGAAAGCTCATCTGAGGCGCGATCGACATTTTCTGGATGGAGAATAAATTAATCCTGCATGTATACACCGAAAACGAAAATTATCTCGTCCATATATCCAGCTTTAGTGAGAGATTTTTTTCTAAGAGTATTCATACTTTACAGTATTTATTTCTTCTAAACGTTATAAACTGATAAATCTCGTTTTAACCTTGTGCTTAGTATTTTTAAATTAATTTGTCAAAATTAAAAAAAATGTGGATTTTCAGAATTGTCTTTGTTCATAACTTATTTTGATATGGATACCAATTGAGGAATATTCTCGGCAGACAATTTTGACACAAAGAAACAAGAATTTCTTACTGAAAAGATACATTTGTGGTGCGCAGAGTTGCATCTTCGTCCATATCAAGGTCGCTTGGACAGATCAAGATCACAGGTACACAAACTTTAAATCATAACTATTCTTGTCACAGCTTTAGAAAAGAAAAATGTAAAAATATCATAATCAGAGAGAGTGTGTTTTTAACTTAAAAAGGGTACGTATTGATAAAGTCAAGGTCAAAAGTCTTAGAAGTGTAATCCTTGCCTTGGTCGTCAATTTAAAATGAAATATATACTTTAAAACCAACTTTTATTCGTGCGAGAAATTATCCACGGGTTTTGCTGACTTATAATACTCAAGAATATTTTCTACTGCGAATCATTTTTTAAATTATTATGTAGAATGATAATACAGACGCTAAACATCATAGTGGGAGAGGGACTTTGAAATGGCAAATTTGATTAAAGCTGTTACGAATTAAAATTGGCTTATAGTATTCGAACAGCGTTTGCTTATTAGAAAAAGGTGTGTAATGATCCTAAATCATTGTTATTTAACCAAAGTCAAGGTTAGCCGGTTGAAAATTTAAAATTCTTGTCTTCACTAACTTTTAACTACATGTAAAATTACATTATAAGCAAATATATATGTATTGATAGTTCATTGAAACATATATAATAATATATAATAACCAATCAATGTTAGTCGATACAAAATAGGTAGAAACCGTACCTTCATCAAGCGACCAGCACTTTGAAGTGAAAGTTGCGGGTCTTTCAGATGAAACCTTAAAAACTGACGTCCCATATCACGGCAGGCGTTAGCACGATGTAGATCCCCCACTGCTCAATGGCCCTGAGTGCGGAGTAAACTTGAAGCCTTTCACCAGCATACGTCTTATATGAGTTAATAAATCTTTCATGGGACGTTGAACAACAATCAGTCTATTAAAAGTCAAGTGTATTGTATAATGTTCCTCTGATTATTATTAGTCCCCTACCGGTGAAAACGGAGGGGACTATAGGTTTCCTCTGAGTCTGTCCGTCCGTCTGTCTGTCTGTCTGTCTGTCCCTCTGTCTGTCTGTCAGTCTGTCCCACTTGGTTTTCCGCACTTTTTCCCTAAACGCTAACAGACATTGAGCTGATTTTTGGTATGTGAGTGTATCTTGATGAGTTACAGATCAAGTTTGCATTTCGTTCCGCTTCATTGATTTTTGACGGAATTACGGCCTTTTCAATTTTTAGGGGTTTTCCACATTTTTCTTCTTAACGCTTGCAGATATTGAGCTGATTTTTGGTATGTGACTTTACCTTGATTAGTTATAGATCAAGTTTGCATTTCGTCCCGCTTCATTGATTTTTGACGGAATTATGGCATTTTCAATTCTTAACGGGAACCAGATTACACTTGCCGGTAGGGGACTAGTATTGCTAATGCAATACTCTCAGAATGCTTGTTTATTTTAAGCTGAAACCCATATATGTAAATATGTTTGGTATAATTCATTTGTAGGGAGAGAGCGTATTAAGTTTAAAGAACTTTTGCCCAATCCCAGTTGTAAAGTTTATAGACAATAAAATATGTTCAAACCATAAGTCATCGACATTAAAACAAACTAAAAATATTGAGAGACCAGGTATGTACTGAAAGTTCTTTAGGAACATAGGGTATATCATTACCTCGAATAAAGGTCATTAGGACGAGGTCAAGCATTTTTTTATTTTAATGACAAAACCGTGTGTTAGAATTGTAAAGATACATGTAGATACATGTAGGTTAATAGGTAATCCTTCAATACTGGCACAAGGATCGCTACATATGTAATTACCAAGATATATTTGAAGTTTCCTAGTCTTGAACATTTGGACACTGTGAAGGTCACATGGCATTAAAGTTTAAAGGACTTATAGCATGCTCGTAAAAATCGTAATTTTATGAAAAATATTATCTACAACATTTTTAATTAAAATACTGAACATAATAAATGGTGTTGCAATCATATTTTAAGCGATATTAAGAGTAAAAAATGAAACATGGCGATATGCATATTTCAATTGGATGTCGGCGCCATACTGCTGTGACGTCATATGCAACTATTCGGTGATAGAGAGATAAGAATATGAGCACAATTAACGGAGTTATAAACGACAAATGCAATAAAAAGTATGAAAAATGCGGGGAAAAGTAAATATTTACATGTAGGTGCTTTTAATTACTATAGAAATTTATAACACTGTTACATGTACATGTATTCTAATTATCCCCCGGCGCCTTTCTGAAATCGAAAATAATTCAGTCGCTTATTAACAATAAAAAAAAAAAAAAAAAAAAAAAACAAAAAAAAAAAAACAACTTGATTAAAATAAATGTTTTGTAAAAGCTTAGTTTTAGTTTTATTTTATATTACCAAATCTACTGCTATTTGAAAAAAATTAATCTGCTTTTTCTGTTTGTTATTTTAACATTTGGATATGTATTCGGTAATGTTTCTTGATAGAGAATTATTATTCGAGACCGCCATTCTTTGAAAAATATACGCAGATATTTTTGCATAAATTGATATTTTATTAGAAATAAACAATACCAAAGATTCTACAATGTTGAACTTGTGAAAAATAAAGGTTTGATGACAAATCACGTATTTTGAAGGCAAGTTGCTTCGTCTTCGCTGCATACAAACCTTCCTATCGTCGCTGTTACTTTATCGTATTTACATATTTTACGGATTTTCTACTGATGGCATTTCAAACATATACGATTTGGTATCAATTCTCATATTGTTAAAATAAGTGATTTGGTCGTTTATAACGCTGAAAATCTAGTTTATATCGTGTATATTTTACTGAGATTAATGTAAACAACTGATCAGTCATTGTCGCATATGACGTATGACGGTCACGTGATCGCTATCTAATTAACTCTGTTTTTAATTCAGGGATTTTTATTTGAGTCAAATAATGTTTAATTAATGCGGTAAATTTTATAAACTATAATCGTAAAAGAACGTAATACGCTTTTAATTTCAATAATTCAGAAACCTGCGATAAGGCCTTTTAAGTCTTCTTTTAAATATAAAATTTCAATGCTAGTTATTGTGTACACATACACTATACATTAGTACATAACACAAAATTTTCTAATGACAGAACTTCCAGCATTTTAAAAATAACAATAAGGTTTTTCGCAGCATTAACGTTTTACATTCTTTTAATTGAAACATATCCAAATTATCAATATGTTTACTTATGATGACATTGAATAAGTTGACTGTGAAACGCTCTACCTTACATGTCTGTGGACAGAGTTAGAATTTATAAATCGTGTATTTGACTGGCACAAGTGATCAATAGGAATAGATTTAAGATATTCTGTGTGAATCTACTAGAGAAGTATGTCCTCTAACTATATTTTGCTGGGGAATCGTATGTTATTTATCCTACTTTGTATAAATTGCGATAAAGAGTGGAAAATCTCCCTTGTATGTGGGTAAGTAGAATTTTTTTGGAATATTTTCTCAACAAGTAAAATTCAGACTCGCCCCTAGCACTTTATATGTACCAAAGAACACGATGAATTGACTAATGTGACAATTTTTTTCTCAATAATGTTGTTTTACAATTGTGCCGATACGATTTTTATGCAACATTTAGGAATTTATAAGTGTCCGTCACGTGATCAACAAAGTCATGTGACATCACAAAAAAGCATTATTATAATACCTGATTACACTCTCATCACAAATTGACTGCAAATTCATACATGGATTATAAATTGAAATTAAAATCTAGCTCAAAATAAAATGTATATTTTAATGCATATTTAGCCTTCGGACAGACTGAACATGGTTGCGTTTGAAGTTTTTTCAAAGTGTGTAATTTTTCAAAGTGCGGTGTAACAGTGTTAAGAACTTGAAATTTATGAAATAATTATTCTAAAGGAAATATTCCTAGGACGTCCATTTTGATGTACTGTTCGAGAGTATCTGCAGCTCAAGAGTTTTACCTATATGCTAATAGTTATATCTGTTCATCGAGTCTTCTCATTTTTCATATCTTTGGAATGATTTGGAAAATTGTCTATCGTTTTCGCTTTGAGTTTTCCGTTTCTTAATTAGCTGAAGTACGAGGAATGAGAGTGTTTAGTATTTGAAGATAGTGAGTCCAAAGCAGTTTTCATCCAAAGACAATACAGAAGATTGGATAAATCTTCGTAGAAGGTTATTTGATTTTCCGATACATAACACAAATGGAAGTTATCTGCGACATGGATTTGATTAAGTTGGAATTATAAATAAGAATGCATTGATCTTTTTTTAAATCCAATTTATATTATCGATATGTCTTCGAACAATGTTGTGTTTCTAATATTTTTTCCAAAGTAGTATCTTCAGGATCATAACCCATAAATATGAAAACAGAAAATACGGATCAAAATTAATTCTGTGATTGATTAATGACGATGGTGTATAGTACACAAATTTATCGTAATTTCAATGCTGGCTGCAGAAATTAAGACATATAGTACATATATCGTTCATCTGGCTCTGGGATCATAAAACGAGCTCACTTCTTTTTTTTTTTTTATCGCAGTATCACATACAAAATGATTTTTTTGTAGAAAAGTGAAACTTGGATTAGAATGGAGTTCAGCTAGGCACTTGGCCCATGGGCTCGTTCTTTTTACCGAGAAGCCAGATATGTGCATGGGAAAATGATTTGTGACTTATTGAGAGGAACTCTTTACGAACATGCTATATCTAAATTGTTGTCATCTGACTCTTCAGATAGATCTAATTTCAGATGTTCTTTAAAATATTCTATTTCTGTAGAAAAGAAGAAAATTATTTGATCTTATTTGTACTAAACAAAGTCCATTTGATTGATCTTCACCCATCACAACAGACTGCTATAATGCAGATGCAAGAATTTCCATCCCAAGCACAGATTACTCTGCGACTCTTCTTTCATTGTTGACCGTGCTGGGAAAATCCTTTTGGCTTGTGATTACAGTTTATTATTTTCAACTAAGCCTTTTCTACCTTTCAATTAAATTTAATGTGAAAATCATTTATTTTACATTATGTGTTTTTTGGTAATAAAAATGCAAGCAAGAAGTAGCTACTTTACCTACTTTAGTCAGAAAGCTATTGTAAATTATTTTTGTAATTTATTCCCGAATAATAGAATATTTCTAGAACCTTAATAGTTGATCTGTTTTCTGAATAGTTTCATTCGAATTAATTACTATGCCAACATATATTCAAACATAATCCTTGAATGAAAATATACATTCGCCCTACGTTCAAAATTTTGGGCAGTAGATTGAACGCCATCGACAGGAGAAAAGGCGATTAGATTTTTATTTTAGCGGTAGATAACTGATAACCAGGTCACCTTGGGCCATCCAAATAGGGTCAACCCTCTAAAAGATTTGTCTTGTAGTTGACATGGAAATTCTGTTATACCTCTTTGAACTCAGTAAGTGCAGATCCTTATGTACACTTCCAATAATTCCAAAAATGAATTTGGCATTTGATTCTAGTGATAATCTATACATGTGCATACTAGGTTGGGACCTACATATCAGAGGCATGGGGTCATTCTTTATCTTGTCAATGTTCAGATTATTTTGATATTCTGCAAAAAGATTAAGAATTTGTTTTAATGACTGGTGTGTTCATACAACAAACTAGTGAAATATTTTATGCAGAATACTTTTTTTACCTTTCAAGCGTTATCGATAACATGTTTTGCAAGTTGGACTGATGGAGCGAATCCTTGTCCTGCACCATGGATCCACTTCCATACCTCGTGTTATGTATTTGCCACCGGTTATCCTGAGGATTGGACGGAAGCCGGGGTAACGTAATTCAGTGAAAAAATCATATTGACTACTGTGAATATTATTTGATACAGAAATATATTACTTTATTCTAAGTTGGAATAAATGTTAAACATACCAGAGCAAAGGAAATTTAATTGCATTTTCAGTCTTTTTGTAATCGAATGGGTGCGAAGCTAGCAGAAATTGAGACTGCAGAAGAAAACAACTTTCTACGATTGCATGCCATTGACAATTACCAGCAAACTGGAGGTAATTTTACATAAAAAGGCAGTTATAATATGAATAATTTCTGGAGGGAAATCAATCATGATGAGTCCCCCTACTTTAACTAGCATTTATGAATATGAATTTAGGTTCAAAATCGCGTTTTCTATTCCTGAAAAGTTTTATTCTTGGAACACACCTTAAAGTGTGACAGATTATGATTAAGTATTGCTTAAGTCTAACCGTAAGTTTGTTTGTAAATTGATTCCTATATCTTTCAGAATGTTATTAATTTATGAAATATTTGTTCCCTTTCTAAGGAAGAAATTCTTCAAAATCATATGTCAGTTTTGAATATTTTTAATATTCCAAACAACCAAAGTGAATTCGAATTACCATATTTATATTGGATTCCGAAACTTCATAAAAATCCTTACAAACAAAAATACATAGCGGGTTCCAGTAAATGTTCAACCAAGCCTCTATCTTTACTCCTCACTAAGATATTAACAGTGGTGAAGGAGAAACTTCAAGAGTACTGTGCAACAATATATTCGAGAAGTTGTGTAAATCAGATGTGGATACTTAAAAATTCCAAGAAACTTTTGGAAAATTTGAAATCACAAGATTTTACCAAAATCAACAGCTTAAAAACTTACGACTTTTCAACTTTATACACAACCATTCCCCACGATAAATTAAAGTCCAGGCTTTTTGATATCATTGACAGCTGCTTTTTCAATAAAAATGGAACTCGTAAATATACTTACCTTGTCATTGGTCATTTGCAAAATTATTTTGTTAAAAAACATTCTGATTGTACACACAAGTACTCTGAAGTTGACATTAAAAAGATGCTTGAGTTTCTGATTGACAATAACTATGTGGTTTTTGGAGACCAGGTCTTCCAACAATCTATTGGAATTCCTCTGGGTACCAATTGCGCCCCGTTATTAGCAGACCTTTTTTTGTATTCATATGAAGCAGAATTTGTCCAAAATCTTGTACGTGAAAAGAAGAAAACACTTGCTGTGGCCTTCAACTCGACATTTAGATATATCGACGACGTATTGTCAATTAACAATGGCTATTTTCATTCTTATGTCGATACGATATATCCTGGTGAACTTGAGATAAAAGATACCACAGAGTCTGACACATCTGTTTCATATTTGGATATTTTACTAAAAAAAGACGTTAATGGTAATCTAACAACCAAGCTTTATGATAAACGTGATGACTTTAACTTTTCAATCGTCAACTTCCCTTACTTATGCAGCAATATACCTTCATCACCTGCATACGGGGTATATATCTCTCAGTTGATTCGATACGCAAGAGCATGCTCTACGTATGTACAATTTCTAAAACGAGGTAAATTATTGACAAATAAGTTGATGAAACAAGAATATCAGCTGTCTCGTTTAAAGTCATCATTTCGTAAGTTCTATGGTCGATACAATGACCTTGTCAGCAAATACAATTTATCATTGAGTCAAATGCTGACTGACGTTTTTCATACTAATTGTTAGGCCATTATTTACACACTGAATTGTCGACGGATTTTTCCGTTATTTCCCGATCATGACAAGGAGCACACGGTGGGTGTGACCGGTCGGCAGGGGATGCTCACTCCTCCATGGCACCTGATCCCACCTCTGATGTTTGGAGGTCCGTGTTTGCTCTGCTCCTATTTTGTATTGTATAATGGACTTTTGAGCTTGAATACTGTTCGTTATCTCCATATATTTCATATTTGCAAAATTCATTTAAGGGGGGCCGACCCTCTGATAAGAGAGATAACTTTCCAAGTTAAATATCCTAGTATTACTCATAGTTTACTTTATCCGAGTTTACTTATCGAGACCTTTGATCAGTCAAATCGATCGGACTTAATAATGATGGAAACATTACCTTATATTTCCTTTGACTCTACTTTTCAAATTGTTTTATTATGTTTGACAAAAAAAAAAAAAAAAAAAAAAAAAAAAAAAAAAAATCCAGTTTTTAAACCCTTAAAAATTGAATAAGTTCTATCTTTTTAACGATCATTTTAAAAATGGTTAAATGTATCAAACACCAAATGTAGAATTATTTTTAGTATTACATTTTTTTTTCAGTGAATAAATATTTATAAGAAAGATAACTCTTGCTAACAGATGTATTATTTTTTTACAACCACATATAACATTGTGATTTTCTGACTTAGGAAGCAGCGCTTCATTATGATTTCTAATATGAATTTAGTAGGTATGACACTAAATATTATTCTCATATACACCGCATATTTCTAATTTTATGTTATGATAATAAATTATTACTATTCCTTATCTCTGTGTTAAAATTTCTTCATATTATGATCTGACATAAAAATCATTTCTGAAAAAAATGAGAGCGCTTCATACCTCATACTATTTTTCATTTGATTTTGATGCTATAGCTCTTGATGAAAATCAATGTTGGGAAGTTTAAAAAAATTTCGTGAAATTATGAGCAGAGAGTCATTAGTCCTTAACAATTCAATTTTCAAAACTCAAGTATTTCTTTTTGATAATAGAATTTGTCTAGTACACATCTTGATACGTTTTAATTCCGAATTTTTCAAACGTTGCAGGACCGTCACGGTTACTCAATCGATAGAGCGCTCGCTCCGTGATTGGAAGGTCGTGTATTCGAATCACGGCCGCTACTGACCTATGTCGACAAAAAATAGGTAGCAACTGTTCCTTCGCCAAGCGCTCAGCACTTTGAAGTGAAAGTTGCTGGTCTTTTGGATGAGACCTTAAAAACCGAGGCCCCTTTGTCACCGTAGGCGTTGGCACGATAAAGAACCCTCACTGCTCAATGGCGCTGAGTGCCGAGTAAAGGTCTAAATTTGAAGACCTTCACCGGTAAATATGAGTGGAAAATTCTCGAACAGGAAGTTAAACAACATACAATCAATCAATCAAACGTTGCATTAAAACCCATTGCTAATTTAAACGATTTGTATCGGGAAGGCAGACGCACAGAAAGATGGACAGACAGTCAAAAACAGGTGATATTGTTTTCAGTGTCGTCAACATTACTTAAAATGTTGTTTCTTGAGATTAAATTGCAGGCACGTAAATCAAAAGCCAAATCATGAAATAAAATTGCCTGCCACCGGTACAGTCACACAAATGGTAGAATAGTCTCTATTTGATCCGGAAGTTGTGGATTCAAGCCCAGGCAACCAAAAAAAAAAAAAAGATATAAAATCTGTTTCCTGGCCAAGCACTCGACACTTTGAAGTGTTACGCCCTTTGAGAATGGTTTTGTAAACAGGCACGAGCTCTGTTATTGTAAATGTTCACGATTCACGGAGTGTGTTCAATTTTTTAAACTTTGTACACATCAATGAGCACGGACTGACAATACTGGTGAGTTGGATTTGTACCAGCAAAAAGCAAATATTTGACCCATGAACAGATATCATAGTAACATAGACCCGATTTACCTATGCAGTCGCACAGTATATTTAAATATATTATTTTTACTATTTAACTTAATAAAACTGATTGGTTTGTTTGATATCACATGCAGAATTGAATTTTACGATATTGACCTGAGATACTAAAGAACAATTAAGGAAAATCCAAAAATCTTTTTATAGTGGTGAATAATCTGTTAAAATTACAAATTCTATTATAAAGAATTTGTTTCTCTCTCTCTCTCTCTTTTTTTGTTCTAGAAAACGAAGAAATTTAGCCCTTTGATTTATTCAATCAAAGCATATTCATCTTCTTTCTCAGTCAATATGCTTTTCTGTAAATCGATATACTGTATGTGTACTTATAAAAGCGGGCTTTATATTTTAGCAGCTTAGGCTCGGAAAAGGATGCGCTAATTCATGACTATACCGCGAAAAAATCATTAAATGTAATGCACGACGCTGACATTGTAGCGCTAATTCATCATTACGCCAAAAACTCCATACCCAGTTATTTCACTTAAATTTGAATGATCCTGTTTATATACACCTACAGCTAATTTGCTAGGGCTGATATATTTTTAAGTTTTCCTTCTTTGCTTTTCAGTATTTCTTCTTTTTTCGGATTTATCAGAAGATTAAATTGATTTAGAATAATGTGATTTCAGAGAATAGGTTGGGATCCATTTGCCAGTCATTAGATAGCCAGATATCTGAATTATTACTAAACTATTATAAAAAAAATCCTAATATTTTTTAATTCCAAAACTTTTTATTGTCTGTTTGTATAGGAAGCTTTTGGATTGGGGGCACAGATGTTTTAATTGATGGCCAATGGATCTGGATAACTACACAAAAAAGAATGAGCTACACAGATTGGAACCCGGGTGAACCCAACGGGGCACTGCGTGAAAGTTGCTTAATGTTACATAATGGAAAATCTAACTTTCATTGGAACGATCAACCTTGCGATTCGAAGCTATTTTTCATTTGTGAAAAAGAGTAAGTTTGCAATTTACGGAAATCTTTTGACACATATATCTGCAAACTGAATTCAAAATTGGTGAGTATTATACATGTGTTTAAAAAAATTCTTAAAATTTTAGCAACAGAAAATTTTTTACCATTATAAAATATGTTATATTATGAATTATCTTAATTAGGTCTAAAATCTTAAGTAAACAATTATATAAATAATATGCATATTATAACTAACACTTAAGGTGATAAAAATAATAAATAAATACAATGTATGTATATGACTTTCAAATATTCAATTTGAACGAAATATTTAAATCAACACTATGAAGAATAGTGTTTAAAAGTCGTGCATTCAAAGGTAATATTCATTGGAAATATGTAGCTCAATGCAACACGGTTTACAATGAATGGCTTTAGATTGCTGCTTTCATCTAACATCATGTGTTGCTTCGCGTTTAGATCTGCAATCAAAATGATAAAAAAAAATGGTTCAGGTAACAAAGCCTATTATTGAAATTTTATATCTTTTCAGGCTGCCGAATGATGGAGATCCAAGCACAATCATTGGTTGAAGTCATGTATCAATGAATATTCTTTTTCAAATGAGACCAAATTCAAATATTGAAAGCATTCCGTTTAAGATAAAAAGATATGTTCTTATTAATAAATGATTCTTCTCTTTAAAAAAATGTATTACTCCACTAGCTGTAAAATTATAATTAGTTTGATTACGGAATGAGCGATTGTTTTAATTTTTTTTAATAATAACATTATTTTTCTGATTTTTTTTGTTATTTATTTTAAAACTGTATTTGGCCGAAAGTCCCAAGCTAACATGAAACCACAAGGGTCTATGGCTGTTAAGATTCTTCAGATCAAAGAGCAAATTTGAAAAATTAATAGTTGACTAATCAACCGCTAATGCTAAATCGCTTAATGATAGAATTATATAATGACGCGTCATTAATGCAGAGCAACACCGACGCTTAATGAAACAAGCAAATATCTACATTTTCGACAGTTAATGATACACACTAGTATATCATTAAGCGTTGCAGTCACACCCTTTAATGATATAAAACTTAGAAATGGCTGCCAATAACTAAGAGAAAAATTCATCCACCTTTCCTTCTACCACTTGCAAAAACATTTATGTATCCCTTGTGCTATAGAATATAGTAAATATTGGAGTTTTCCAAGTTTTTTTTTAGTCAAGGGAACTTCTTAAAGCTCCAGATATCCAAATTTACTTCTGTTACGCAGGGTCTTAAATTAAGTGTTTCCACGCAAAAAATTGTTTATTGATATTGAAAAATATATTCATGTATAAATTAAGTAAATCATTAATGTCACTGCAATAAGAACTCTTATTTCTGCTTATTTTTGCAAACTAGACATCACACACTGACAGAAAGAAATGTTCAAACACTTCTGTGTTTCTTATCTTTACTTGCATTAATACTGAATCAGATGAGCTAACGACCAAGGAAAATCTAGGACACGCTAATAATGTACATTGTAGCACTTGCCGAGAATTGCACGCCTTTTATACGAAAAGTCCAAGCATATCAGAGAATTGTAGTATAATGAATTCGAAATAATAAGTAATAATTATCTCTTAAATAATTCAAACGTGGTTATTTCTATTCGTTACTCAGGCCCGTAGCAACGGTTTCAAAGTGTGTGGAGGGGGGGGGGGAGGGTGCATATTCTCAAAAGAATCCGACAAGAAGAAAAAGGTAATTTGCTGTACAAATCATGGATTTTGCCAGTGCTCGACCTTACTACATCAACCATTGGGGTGTGGGGTCAACCAGCATCTAAAGGAATATATACTATATTGAAACATTATACTCCGAAAAGGGCCACCCCCTGGTCCCCCGCGTTATACGGGCTCGTTACTAGAAAGATTTTCTGTCTGTCTCTACTGCAAATGTCAGTATACAACAATCCATTTCAGTTTACCGTTTATAAGTCGGTTGCATTTTTTCAGATTTATTCGGAAGAATTAGTCATTCACCCTCTTGTAAGTCGGTAATATTTTGCTAAATCTGTAGACAATTTCAGATGAAAAATCTTTTTTTTATTTACCAGCGTTTCAAAGTGTGTTTTAAGGCAAGACATATATTTGAGTTTACTAGCAATTTTAACAAGTACAAGATCATTTAATTCTTTAAATACTAGTGTTATGATTAAAATTGTGGTAACATTAGATCTTAATTTCCTGCATTATAATTTTTTCGATCTTTATAAACGAGTTGTTGCCATATTACTAGATTTCTTCTTCAAGAAAAATTCAAAATGTATAAGTCGGACCTAGACTTTTGGCTCAAAATTAAACATTTTAGCACATGTATTTAAATTTCAGTATTTGCGGTAGTTGCAGATCTGCAGTGTTATGGTTTATAATTTAGTCTTTGACCATGATGCTACAGATCCTGTTATAAAAATATGATTGGTCAATCAACTACCTTTCACTCCCTTATTCTAGACACATTCCTCCCTAATTACGTTCCTGGTACGCACTGATTAACTTCCTGAACCTCAGGCCCCTGAACCTCAATCGCAGATATAATGTCACCCACTATACTACTGAAAACAAACGGATGAAAAAGAGAAAACAAACAGATGGAAGTTTCCTTTAAAATGTCTTTAGTGAGCAGCTTAAATAAATCTGAAAACACCAAGTATCCGAAGGATAAATCGTGCGCAAAACTGTGAAAAATATCGATTATATTAACTTTTTTTCTTTCCTAATAACGATGGCAGATGAACTATGCCATGAGGACATTATCGAAGATACAGTTAATATTGGCCTTCAGGCTATGGTGTTGGCTCTGGGATACAGGGTCGGTATTGTTGACGCGATGCAACGCCTAAATACTCCCTGTACAGCAGCAGAAATCAGTGAGGAAGCACAACTAAATCTCAGGTAACACATCTAACGGTTCGATGTATTTGGGACATTATGATTTCTTTTCTTTTGATATAGCAAAGCGGAAGTAAATGAAAAATACTTACAAAATACAGTGTTCTAGTATAACAGAAAACATCTTCGCTAGCCAAGGGTTTCTGGTCCACTACTTTCCTTACAAACCCTTGGCAAATGGTGCTATCAAAAGACGGGAATATTTACGTCACGTGATCTCGAATCTTACCACATATGCACAGATTGCGTCATCGATAGAAATAAAAAAGCGAATTTAAGCATTAAAGTTTTTAGAGAATAATGAACAAGAAGGTATCGAGCGATATTTACTTGTTATTTAGGGTGCAAATCTACATCTGTAATATAGAAAATTGCAAGTCAACTTAAGATTGGATCACAGCATAACTATTTCTAGAATGACATGTTATCTTACGGATCTTTGTTCAGTTCGTGTTTTTCATTACCAAGACTAAAGAGTCAAGATATATCCCAAACGCAGATATCGTCATTTACGAAAAAAGCAATTACTGATTGGTCGATCTATATCAATCAACTTCAATCCCAACTCGAGAAAAAAATCCCAACTTTTGACAGCAACGTAGGCCAAGGGATTAGCGGATCAGAAACGCTTGGTTAGCGAAGATGAACAGAAAAAAACTGTGGCTCATCTAAATCCCGGGTTAAATTTTAATGTTTCCAAATATATAATACCTAATTAATCCTTCTTTGTTAAGATATTGCAATACGGAGTTTTAAGTGGAGAATAATTTAATTAAACAGAAAAGTATAGTTCTAGCTCATATACATATAAATCAATGATAAAAGGTCTAATGTTTCCAAATAATTATTACCTAGATAGCTAGGGATTTTTTTTATTACGAGATAGCAGAATAGGGCTTTTATGTAAAAAATAAGTAATCAATTTTACATTAAATATAATTATAGAAAATCATATCTTAAGAAAAAAGAAAAAAGACATTTCAAATGATTTATTTTGATCTTAACCTGAGTTTGGAAGATCATTTGCCAAAATATTCTTCATAACTATTCCCCTATGTTTGTTTGTTTGCTGTTTTTAAACTGTGTCAAACTTTTATGTTTTTTTTGTTATTATTTCATATCAAAAGATAAAAAGATTGCTATATTATCAAAACATTTTTTCTACAAATAAGTTAATTGCTTAAATAGAATAATAGTGAATTAAGTGAAAACATCTATTATCGACTAAAGCATTATACAGAGGGAGATTTATTAATATCTTAAAAGTGCTGAAAAATTGTTTCTTAAGGGGGCCGACTGGGGTATCATAGGCGCAATACTTCGCGCTGCATAGTAAAATAAAGCGTATTTACTCTTTTAAATTAACTATTTTTACATAATTTATAAAAATTAAGAAAATTAGGAAATCTCAGGTTAAAAAATCTAATTACGTATTTAAATAACTGATTTTTTTTAACGATTTTTCAAATTATGGGTAGATAGACATTGTAATTGTGTGTTTTTGACGTTATGAATAATAATAATGAGATGCTCAGGAAATTTTAAACATAGGAAATTGAGAATCTCACAATCATTTTATTATTTTTATATAAATCTGTGTTATCTGTAATGTTTTAGTACTCCATAAAAACAGCAAAACATCATGAGTTCTGACATTTTGAGATACCCCCTCTGTAAACCAGACGGTAGAATTTTGTGTTTCTTGCATAAAATGTACAATATAGTATTACTTATCAAATACTATAATTTGAGCAAAAAGTATTTAGTGGCATTTGTATAATTTGCTCCGAAGTGCGAAAAATGATAATTCACTATATAATCCTATAGTAAATGTACATGTACCTGTATATTGAGATGGTCCCTTAAAAATAACCATACGGTAGATTTTCACTAAACTTGGCGTGTATACTATTGTCAATGTAAGGTACTAGGGTATAAAATTAAAGAGTTTCTCTATAGTAGTTTTCACACAATAAAACCCCAGTCGGCTCCCTTAAAATAAAAAAAAGAAAGTTGCGCAAATAAATAAATAAAAATAATATTGAACGACTAAAGTGATACTTTAAATAATTATACTTAAAACAAAAAAAAAAAAAAAAAAAAAAAACTGTCTTTATTACAGTGCAGTTACATTTATATAAAGTACTTTATTGTTATCAGTTGTTTACGAAAGTTTTCTAACCGCAACACAAAAAGTGAAGGAGAGTTCAGCTACTGAAATGAATTATGTCATATCCTGTCCAGAAACACCTTAAATTACACTAACGTTATTGTTTCACATCCGTTAAATTAATCTTGTGGTAACTTTGACTGTCGACTATGCACAATGCACAATGTGTATATCACCTCATATGAACACGCAAAACCACAATTGCAATTAATTTCCTGACATGTTTACTGAAGAGCATTCCTTTTTTTTTCGCACTGCATAATTATGAGGTTTGAATTGAAAGTTAAGTTTGCATGAATTTCTTATATATTATTGTAGTGTCCCAAACACACTGGTTTCTGATCTTTCACATCTAGATACGTAGAGGAATGGCTAATATGTATGTCTTCAAAATGCATCATACATTATGAAGATGGGAGATACAAAATACCGTATTTAAAAAGGAGTTCAGAAAGCTGCACATACGTCTGCTGTCTTACCAATGGTTGCAAACTGCTTCACAAAACTCGAAAATGTGATGAAGAATAGAAACACGAATACTGGTTAGTATGTATTGTTCTTATTAATTTTGATAATTATTATCTCTTTTAAAATTATAACATTATTACATGTTATATATTGATGAGGACTTTTTTTTAAATTAAAAGAAAAATAACACTTAAATAACACAATTAATTAATTTTGAAAAAAAATCTAAACCAATTAAATAAGATGCCCAAATGATAAAATGTATATGGGCCTTAGTGAAACACGTTCAAACTAATCAATTTTACTTCACCGTGGTTTATGTTCGTTAGCAGTAAAGATTTTAGAGGCTCGATTTAAAGAACAAATATTATGACCAAGTTATTCTTTGTAATGTATAAAAATTCGTAAATTGATTGACTGATTGATTGTATGTTGTTTTACGCTCCGTTCGAGAATTTTTCACTTATATAGAGACGTCACCATATACCGGTGAAGGCCTTCAAATTTAGACCTTTACTCGACACTCAGCGTCATTAACAAGAGAGGGTTCCTTATCATGCCAAGGCCTACTCTGACACAGGGTCTCGTTTTTTAAGGTTTTTAAGATCTCATCCGAAGGACCTGCAACTTGCACTTCAAAGTGCTGAGCGCATGGTGAAGGGACAGTTGCTATTTTTTATCGACGTAGGTCAGTTGCGGCCATGATTCAAACACACGACCTTCTGATCACGGAGCTAGCGCTGTAGCAACCTCTAATGATAAAACGCCGCGTAATGATACAAATATTATTAAGCGTTGCGATTGCAATGCCTAATCCCGTAAATCATTGCATTAATAGTTGACATTCCCAACCGCTAATGCTAAATCGCCGCTTAATGATAACATTACATGTATATAATTTCGCGTCATTAATGCAGAGCAACATTGAAGCTTAATGAAACAAGCAAATATCTACATAATCGACTTTTAATGACACACACTAGCATTCATGAAGCATTGCAGTCGCACCCTTTACTGATATAAAACTTAGAAATGGCTGCCAATAACTAAGAGAAACATTCATCTATCTTTCCTTCTACCACTTGCAAAAACATTTATGTATCTTTTGTGCTATAGAATATAGTAATTATTGGAGTTTTCAATGTTTTTAGTAAAGGGAACTTCTTAAAGCTCCGGATATCCAAATTTACATCTGCTGCGCAGGGTCCTAAATTAAGCATTTCAACGCAAAGAATTGTTTATTGATATCGAAAAATATATACTATGTATAAATTAAGTAAATGTCAATGCAACAAGAACTCACTCGTGCTTATTTTTGCAAACTAGACAGCACACACTACAGAAAGAAATGTTCAGACACTTCTGTGTTTCTTTTCTTTACTTGCATTAATACTGAATCAGATGAGCTAACGATCAAGGGGAACCGAGGACACGCTAAAAATGTACAGTGTAGCACTTGCCGAGAATTGCACGCCTATATACCGCAAGTCCAAGCATATATCAGGGAATTGTAGTATAATGAATTCGAAATAATAAGAAATAATTATCTCTTATATTATTCAAACGTTGTTATTTCTATTCGTTACACATGCCCGTAGCAGCGGTTTCAAAAGTGTGTGTGTGGGAGGGGGGGGGGGGGTATTGTCAAAAGAATGCGATGCGACAAGAAAAAAAATGTAATTTTCTGTACAAATCTTGGATTTTGCCAGTGCTTGACCTTACAATTTCAACAAGTGGGGGGGGGGGGGGGGGAGAAAATCTAAAGGAATATTTACTATATTCAAAACATTATACTCAGAAATGGGCCACTGCATTATACGGGCCTGTTACTAGAAAGATTTGTCTGTCTCTACTGCAAATGTTAGTGTACAACAATCCATTTCAGTGAACCGTCTATAAGTGGGTCTGCTTATAAGTCGAATTAGTCATTCACCCGCTCGTAAGTCGGTAATATTTTGCTAAATCTGTAGACAATTTCAGATGGAAAACCTTTTTTTAATTTAAAGTATACTTTGGGGCAACACAGATATTTGAGTTTACTAACAATTTTAACAAGTACAAGATCATTTAATTCTGTAAATACTAGTGTTATAATTAAGATTGTGGTAACTTAAGATCTTCATTTCCTGCATTAGAATTGTTCCGATCTTTATAAACGAGTTGTTGCAATATTACTAGATTTCTTCTTCAAAAATTCAAAATTTATAAACAGGACCTAGACTTTTGGTTCAAAATTAAACTTCTTAGCACATGTATTTAAGGTAAAGTTTGCGATTACAGGGAGATAACTCTTATGAATCACTTAAGCGTTTGAAACCGGCGAAATTTAAACCAGCGATAATAAGCATTCAATCGCTAATGAATTTCGGCTGTGAAACACCATGACAAGAAATGATGAACAGAAACAAAGGACATTTCCAGTAGAAAATCGTATAAGCCTAACAATTTAAAGTAAAGGAATCTCAGAAGAATTTAGCGGACAAATGCTTAGCGTGATGCACGATTGATGATGCAATAAAAGAGCACTAGTTTATTTTCAATACGGAACTGCGCAAGTTGCACGGTTATTCAAGTCAGCAGGAGCAAAGAATCAGATGTATTGTAAATCATGCACTTCACCGCGTCACTTAATCATGTTAAAATGACAACACGAACGAAAGAAAGAAACATCCAGGATCCTGTTACACTCTGAGTGGTGTATGCAGTATGCACTCCGAACAGGGAAGAGAAGTCATGGAGTATTTGACAGCTTGATATAGTTGCATCAGACAGGTAATTATTTAACTGTTAATTTTAGGTATTTGTAGTTCATAATCGCGTATTACAAATACGGATTACAGAACTTTGTCAATGACCTAAAGGGACATAAACAGGAATGAATGAACAGATCAGGGTACATGTTAATCTGAGTTTTCTCTGACTGTAAACCCTGCTTTTATCTGTTTATATTGTGACATGTTCAGCGAATATCAGAAAAGGTGCATGTGACTTTAATCCCGCAATGCAGTTTTCATCCAAATTTTTAAAATCTATCTCTCTCTCTTTCTTTCTCTCCATCTCTCTCTTTAATACAATCAGGAAAGCATTTTCATCAGTTATTTTTTATGAAATTGTTTGAATTATTGATTGACACATTATTTTTCAATGCAAATTAGTTCTCACTGAAAAAGATCTGAAGCCCAAATCCATTTAAAAAGTATCAATCTTGAATGCAGTAAACAAATAAATGTTCTAACTCTTAGTCAAAACATACTAGTTTATATGTTGCACATGGATTTTCTCCCTAGATAGATTTTAATGTGAATTTTATCATAAACTTTAATTTAATAATCTCAAAGAGGATTTAAAAGTAGGTTCAAAAGAGGGGGATTTTTAAGCATTGAATCATTATTTTTTGAAAGATATAGTATCATAACTGCAACGGTGTGTGCAAACTAATTGAGTAACGCGCATTAGCGCATTATGATAATATGTTGGCACACACCGTTGCAGTTATGAGACTATCATAACACACCATATCTTTCAAAAAATAATGATTCAATGCTTATATTTACATTTTTTAACTCCTTGCCTTCATTGCAAATGTGATTTATATTTCAAAAACCCTGTATTATCCTTCGGGTAAGCTACAATGAATGGAAGAGCCGTTGCAACAGCCTTCTGTTCAATGTGAGCGTGAATTTTGATTTTCGCTTATGACGTTGCATTTCCATGGCGCTCAACGTTTGTGACGTAAAAGTAAAACGCATACTTTAACCTTTTGACCCCCCTTGAATGCCATAGCTTCCCTTACACTTTAAAGCAAAATACATGTGGAATGTAAATATAAAGCTATAAAGTCTGGGACTCAGTATCAAGACATTTTCAATACTTTTCCTATTTTTACTTATATGCACTGGCTATATTTGTTCCAGTATTGATTATGATTTACTGATTACTAAGCTCAGTTGATTGTCCTACTCTGACATGGTAAATTTTGGTTCTCTCAAAATAGATACATGGTCAGTTGGTACATGTAAATATAAGTATTTTATTTATTTCTTTTTATTTTATTATTTTCATTATTTTTTTTAAAGTTTGAAGTAACCTTTGATGGGGTCTTATAGAGACAGCTGGCACAGGTTGGAATTATGACATAATACAGGTGAGCATTTCTAAAGTACAGTTTGTATTTATTTTTTCCTCACCAAGTGATACGTACATTAGTATAGTCTGGATCAGGCCCGTAAGAAGCAATTTCAGCTTGGGGGGGGGGGGGGGCATAACGAAACCCATTTTCAGTTGGGGGGGGCACTACCAATAATATTAAAATTCCTTGGCAAGCAAAAATGAAAGGTCATCAGACATTATTATTTAGGTGGCACAAGCATATACTTAGCAATGTTTTCTATAGTGTATAGTGTTCTATATATCAGGAAAATTAGGGGGGTATGCCTCCCCCCCCCCCCCCCAGTTCCTAAGACCATGTGGATAGTTTTAATTTAGATTGAATGGTTTTAATAAGGGCCTGGAAATACTTTCTGTGAATGAAGTTCTATTTTTATTGGTATCTCATTTTTTAAATAAAAAGAGATCCAGATTATGCATGACTATTTAATCTTAGCATTGCTTAGCTTGTGTTTTAGAAAATTCACTCATCAAGCTTATATAATTGCATTCATCTAATTCAATCTATATAAATTAATGTATACATTTATTTTTGATAATAGTTGTACCATTATTAGTTATAAAGTGAGTATGTTGGAAATTCATTCATTTCATTTTTTTTCATTCCTTTCATTATATGAAAATGAACACACAATTTCAGATTATGGATCATTAATTGGAAATAAATCAGAAAAAGTACTTCAGTTCTTGCTTAGAAGATCAGTGCCATCTATTATAGTAATGACCATTGCATTCCAGCTCATGAATGTTCAAGAAAGTTGAAAGATCGAGCAAAGGTGTGGAACCAGATATGCCAATACCAGTGGCCCAGGGTTTGGAGGAGACTGGTTACCCAATAAATGTTATCCATGGAAACAATGATTCCACAACAACATTCTATCTATAAGCTGTTTTCTCTATATTTAGAAAAAATAAGAGTCTGAGATGATTATAGTACATTGCTTCTCCATCTTTGAACTTGCATTCAGTAAAATAAATTTATGCATCAGATGTATTAATTGGAGGTGGCATGTCTGCTTAACAAGTTTCTATGTAGCATTCAAAAAGTGTTTGTAAAATTTCATGTAAATTGTTGTAGCAAAATATCCATAGATAATGGACAGAATATGTATCTGTGACATTATGGCATTGTTATATTTTTCCTGTTCTTGTCCAATATTCATGACAGTGTAATAACTTCGCAGAATTTTACAATTTGACTGAAATCGGAAGTACTTGCACTGTAAACTCATTAAAATATGAATTTGTAACTTGAAATCCAGTGTTATTGTCTTCTTACATACAGCTGCATTTATCCAGAATCTGGGACTGATCAAAGTCGCCCTCATGGTGCAGTGGTTAGAGCTTTGCTCTAGAATCACAGGGGAAGGAGTTGATCCTTGCATTGTGGGTTCAAATCCCACTGTGGGACTTGGAGACCAGTCCTTCAGGTGAAACCATATAAACCGAAGTCCCATATCAAGTATTTGCTGGCACGGAAAAGATCCCTCACTGCTCAGAAGGCCATAAGTGTCGAGTACAGGTCTAAATTTGCAGCCCTTCACTGGCAAGTGATGGCGTCTCAATATGAGTGAAATAATCTTGAAGGGAGGGTAAGCAAACAAACGAACAGACTATTAAAATGATTGATATGTAGATATTTGTTACTGTTGTTAAGATAGCAGCTACCTGGATTAAATGCCTGCAACATTTCACTCAAGTGATAGCATGTAAAGCCTCACCAGTCGTAGATGAATAAAGACATTAGCTATGGATGCCTAGAAATTAATACATGTAGTTGAAATCTTTTGGAATGATTAAATCAACATAAGGTCAAAAAGTTTTACTTAAACTTGTTTTCCAACAGCAGCATGCTAAGAAACCATGATGAACAATTACATGTACATGTATACACCTCAAGCATGTTTATAGATACAGGTATTTCCAAAAGGTGTTGAAACATAATTCCATTGACTTTTTCATCAATAATATTGTAAAGGTGTGTTATGTAGGACATGTATACCACGAGTCTTTCCACATGAACTGATTATTTACTATTTAGTAGCATAGAAGGAGTGTTATTGTGGTCAATTTTCTGCCCCAAAAAACAATTTCATATAAAATTTAGTTTGATGAGTACACTTTCTGAAAATTGTATCAATGTTTACTTTAAAATGCAAAAAGGTCTGATTTTCATGTACAAAACCCATTATATAGCCTCTGTTTCCATGGAAACAGTGTTGGGGACATGTATATTTTTTTAGTCCATTGTAATGAAAATTATCCATTGAACAATTTCTTGGATTTTTGTGGAATCGGTAGATATAGATAATGGTGATTTTTACTTGTCTGTTGCCATGGCAACGGTTTCACTTTATTATGGAAAGTTGAAAAAACCTCTTTTTTAACCCAAATTTTTACATTTTCAGTAACAGAAATAAAAAAATAAGATAAATTAAGCATAAAATAAAATAATTCATGCCATTTTAATTATTTTAATATGATAATATATAAAATTAATCAATTTTTTTCATTGAAAATAATTAAACATGTAAAGCGTCAATTCCCTCAAATTTGGCGTCTTTTACTCAAAAAACGGGACGGGCAATATCTTTTAAAATGGTGTTAAATGATGAAGCTATTCTTCCCAAACAAATTGATGTACGACATATGTATAATTTCAAAAAAATAAAATTTGGAGGGGGTCGCAAACCTTACCTTAAATTTCATTTCAGTATTTGTGGTAGTTGCAGATCTGTAGCGTTATGGTTTATAATTCAGTCTTTGACCATGATGCTACAGATCCTGTTATGAAAATATGATTGGTCAATCAGCTACCTTTCACTCCTTTTTTCTAGACACGTTCCTCCCTAATTACGTTCCTAGTACGCATTGATTTACTTCCTGAACCTCAGGCCGCCAAACCTCAATCGCGGATGTCACCCTCTATACAACTGAAAACAAACGTATGATAAGGAGAAAACAAACGGATTGAAGTTTCATTTAAAACGTCCGTAGTGAGCAGCCTAAATTAATCAGAAAACACCAAAGTATCCGAAGGATAAATCGTGCGTAAAACTGTGAAATATACCGATTATAAACTTTTTTTTCTTTGCTAATAACGATGGCAGATGAACTATGCCATGAGGACATTATCGAAGATACAGTTAATAATGGTCTTCAGGCTATGGTGTTGGCTCTGGGATACAGGGTCGGTATTATTGACGCGATGCAACGCCTAAATACTCCCTGTACAGCAGCAGAAATCAGTGAAGAGGCACAACTAAATCTCAGGTAACAGATCTAACGGTTTGATATATTTGGGACATTATGATTTCTTTTCTATTGATATAGCAAAGCGGAAGTAAATGAAAAAAAAAAATAGCTACAAAATACAATGTACTAGTATAATAGAGAGACATAATTGTAGCTCATTTTAATCTCGGGTAAAATTTTAATGTTTCCAAATATATAATACCTAATGAATTCTTTTTTAATAAAATACTGCAACACGGAGTTTAAAGTAAAAAAAAAATAAAATGATAAAACAGAAAAAAAATATAGTTATAGCTCATATCAATCTCAGATAAAAGGTCTAATTTTTCCAGATAAACATTACGTAGATAGCTACTGATATTTTTTTTTTTAAAGGAGGTAGCAAAATAGGGTTTTTATCTGTGAAAAAGTAATTAATATAACATTAAAAATGATTATAGAAAATCATATTTTTAGCACAAAAAAATATTTTAATCTTAACCTGAGTTGGGAAGATCATTTGCCAAATTATTCTTCATTACTATTTTACTTTGTTTCTTAGTTGTTTTTTTTTTATTTATTTAAAGCTTTGAAGATTTTTTTTCATTAATTCATATAAAAAAAATACATATAAAGATGTTATAAAAACATTTTTTTCTACAAATAGGTTAATTGCTTTAATAGAACAATAGTGACTTAAGTGAAAACTATTATTATCGACTAAAACATAATGTTATAAAATAAAGAAAATGAAGAAAATTGTGCAAATAAATAAATTAAAATAATATTGAACTACTAAAGGGATACTTTAAAAAGATCATATTTAAAACCAAAAATAATACATCTTTCCTCATTACAGTACAATTATATATCATACTTTATTTTGATCAGTTGTTTACAAAAGTTTACTAACTCAGCACAAAAAGTGAAGGCTAGTTTAGCTACTGAAATGAAGTGTGTCATATCCAGTCCATAAACACCTTAAATTACACAAACTTTATTGTTTCTCATCCGTTAAACTCATCCTGTGGTAAATTTGACCGGCGACAATGCACAATGTGTACAATGTGTCACCTCATATAAGCACACAGCAAAGCCACAATTGCAATCAATTGCCTGATATGTCTACTGAAGAGCATTCCATTTTTTTTCCAACTGCATAATTATGAGGTTTGAATTGAAAGTTAAGTTTGCATAAATTTCTTAAATATTTTTATAGCTTCCCAAACATACACATTTCTGAAAGGTATTATTTATACACGTCTTTCACATCTAGATACGTAGAGGAATGGCTTATATGTATGTCTTCAAAACGCATCGTACATTATGAAGATGGCAGATACAAAATACCGTGTTCGAAAAGAGTTCAGAAAGCTGTACATACGTCTGCTGTCTTACCAATTTTTGCAAGCTGTTTCACAAACCTCGAAAATGTGATGAAGAATAAAAACACTAATACTGGTTAGTATGTAATGTATTTAGAAATTTTGATAATTACTATCTCTTTTAAAAGTATAATATTATTAATATATTAATGAGAACATGCATTTTTTATTTAATTAAAAGAGGAATTACACTTAAATGACACAGTTAATTAACTAAAAAACCTAATTACATGTAAATAAGATGCCCAAATGATAAAATGTATATGACACATTAATGAAACATTTTCAACTAATCAATGATATATTGTGCAATCATTTTACTTCACCGTGGTTAATGTTCCTTAATAGTAGAGATTTTTGAGGCTCGATTTCAAGAACGGATATATTGACCAAGGTATTCTTTGTAATGTACAAACATTCGTAGTTTGATTGACTGATTGATTGTACGTTGTTTTACGCCCCGATCGAAAAATTTTTCACTCATATAGAGACGTCACCATATACCGATGAAGGGCTTCAAATTTAAAACTTTTACTCTGCACTCAGGGTCATTAAGCAGAGAGGGTTCCTTATCGTGCCAACGCCTACCGTGTCACGGGGTCCCGTTTTTAAAGATTTTTAAAGTCTCAACCGAAGAACCCGCAACTTTCACTTGAAAGAGCCGAGCGCTTGGTGAAGGAACGGTTGCTATTTTTTATCGACGTAGGTCAGCCTTGGCCGTGATTCGAACACACGACCTTCCGATCAGGGAGCGCGCGCTCTACCGACTGAGCTACCGTGACGGCCTAAGAATTCGTAGATAAGGATGATCCACGAAACATTAATCCCCAAGCTAACAATGTAATGATATATAATGTACTATACGTCAAGGTCCATATATAACACTGCTGATGCAACTAAAAAAAATTCCGCCGAAAAATGGCTGAAATATTGCCGACTGGGCTTAAAACATTATGACAATCAATCAATCACAAATAATACTGAAAAAATACATGTATATTGTCATTTATGATAACCGACACTATTGCCTAATGATACAAAAGTGGGTTTCAAAAAGTATGAGTTCGGCGACTGATGATAAAAATGATATAAACATGTGACGCGTCATAAGCCGTTGGGTCCAAATGCAGTATGTGTTAATTTTGGAGAGATATTCAAAATAACATGAAAGAATAGCAAAGATTTTTTTTTTTAAATTTTTGTTCTGTTTGTTTGTTTGTTAGTTTTTTTTTGTTTTTGTTTGTAATACTAAACATCCTTAAAAAAACAAAATCACTCTAACTATATGTTTAATAACAAAGTAAATTCTTCCATCAATGTGAATTATGTCATCAAAGAGTTTATAACACTATTGGATACCCTAATATTTGATTACTTTTTTTAAAGTCAAATCATAAAAGTATTTTAAGACCCTGTTCAAATGATGAAATTTGAAAAAAAATTTGTAGCTTTCTCTCATTTATATTTAATTTCAAATTCACTTCAGGTTACACATATCCAGTGGAGGAACTGGAATGGCTTGCAAAATACAGGAAATTAAGCAATATTGATCAGTCCTGGATTAAAAGGAATATAGCGCCAGTAATATCAAATTATCTGAGGGAAAGAGAAAGTAATTAAAATATCATACTCTGCCTATATCTTGGGATTTAAAATAATATCATTAAAATATTATCCAAAGGGCATTGCGTAATAAACAAATATCGATCTAACAGGTAACAAGTTTTTTTACTATAGTCTGAATTCATGAATCTTAGATGATAGGTATAAAAAACAAAAGAAGGTATTAACATACCTGCATGTATTTATTTACAGCCGTACCAACAATTCTTGACTTTGGCTGCGGTTACGGAAAACTTGCTGAAGAGCTGGCAACCTACTATCCTCAGTTTCCTATCTTTGGTACCGATATCGATGTAGACGCAATTAAAAACTGTTGCAAGTCATTGAAACATCTTCAATTCGCTATTTTTAGCAAAGACATTGAAAAAGACTGGCAAGAAAATTTTGACATAATTATCTTGATGGATGTATTGCATGATTTACCAGATCCTGTAACAGTTTTGACACAAGTAAAACGCCTGCTTAAACCAAATGGATATATCATAACCTTTGACCCCAACATTTCGTCAGACATATCAAAAAATATTGGCCAAAAGATGGCGATGAACCAACTGCCCTACAGTATGTTTTTCTGTTTACCAAACAGCTTGTCAGAAAAACCTGCAGCTGGACATGGGACAAGCTGGGGAATAGAAGATAGAAAACAATTTTTCACAGATAATGGATTTACAATCTTGAACATTGATAAAAATGCTCAATTAGTTGAAGAGCATTTCAGGATTATATTACAAAAATGAATATACTTTCTTATATTCTTGTTTGTTACAATTTGTCTTAATAAATAACATGTCGCCTGCGTGGCGCAGTGGTTAGAGCGTCTGCTCTAGAGTCGCGGAATAAGGAGATGATCCTTACGTCGCGGGATCGAATCCCACTGTGGTACGTGGAGACCGGTCCTTCGGATGAGACCGTATAAACCGAGGTCCCGTGTCGCAGTAAGTGCTGGCACGAAAAAGATCCCTCACTGCTCAATAGCCCTAAGTGCCGAGTATAGGACAAAATTTGCAGCTCTCCACCGGCATGTGGTGGCGTCTCCATAAGAGTGAAAAAAAAAATCGAGAGGAACGTTAAACAATAAACAAACAAACAAATAAGAAGTAACAACTTTAAGTTATATTTTCCATTTATTGAATTACATAAATAAAGAATAATGAACTAAGTTTATCCTACAGGCCAGAAATTTCTCTCTCTCTCTCTCTCTCTCTCTCTCTCTCTCTCTCTCTCTCTCTCTCTCTCTCTCTCTGTGTATAAAAATTTCAATAATAATAATAATTTACTATTCAGTTATCGAGTTTACGACAGAAATGTCTAATATTTACATCGACAGCAATTAATTTTTTTAAAAGGCAAACTCAACCTTGATTATTGTTTTTTTTTTTTTATTTTAATTTACCATGTTTGTATAAAATTTGGTGTGATATGCCCACGCTTAGAAGCTATTTTTTTAAAAAAATTTCTTGGAGTAGTTCAGAACAACGTTTATTTGTTATATACATCATGTTTATGGTCCTAATCATTAGTATGCATTAAAAATGAGTTTTAAACACTTTTAAAACTAAAAAACCTACCTTTTTTGTATTTTGTTAGCTCATTTGCATGGAACAATCATGCAAAGATTTTTCTTACTTGTTATATTTAGAACAAGGAATAATAGAATTCATATGGATATAATCATAACAAGAGTACACAGTTAATTTTTTTAAATAGTAACGTGAGGTATCAGGTAAACTTAACTCGACCCCAAGCAAGGGTTGTCCCTTTTCGCGCATTTAAAACAAACTGTTATTAATCTTTTCATTGGTGGAGAGGTGAAAAAGTAAAGAAATGGATTCACAGAATGAATGATAATTTTCATAAAAGTACTGACTGAAAGAATGAAGCTATTTTCTATCAGAGCAGGTACTTCTTCGGTGACTCTTAAGATGCTATTTTGAGAAATGTAAAGATGCAAAGTGGATGTGATATTTAAAATGGAGTTCAGGCCATTCAACGTCAAAATAATTATTACAATTATTGTCATTTATTTTAAATTTCCGGCGGCTTTTGATGATTGTGCAGTACGTAATCTTTTGTAAAATAAAACACAGTGCAGAATAAGAAAAATTACTAGCAGAAATACGTCATCACAAATATATAGGATAACCTTGAGAGACTTGTTTATGGACCATAAAAAATATACAATAGTATACCCGTAGGCTGTGCTCAGTAGGATAGAGAAAACGGCAAAGACGATTATAAAGTTTGTTGTAATGTACACTCGGCTTCTGATGGGATAAACAAACATTGCATACCGAATAAACCCCAGGAATAGCACGCACAATTTTGATAATAATTTCACTCCATATCCCAGCAGGCACACAACATTGAAAAAAAACTTTGAATCAACGTTGATTATATATGTTGATTCAACGTTTAGTTTATGTAAGATTTTGAAAATTGAGTTCAACGTTGAAATCTTAACGTTGATTCAATGTTGAAAATCAATGTTGATTAGACATTGAATAAAAGTTAATTCAACGTTGTTGTTTTTTTCGGGGGGGGGGGGGGGGATAACATTTAAAATTTTATTTTTTTATTAACTAAGAATTTAATTAACTTCCTATCAATAGATCAGTTGCAATAAATTTCACAAAAATACATTTTATAAATTACATGTAATCAGTACAAAACCCAAACATTTTACAAATGTTTTCTATCTTCACGCGTGGTCAAGAAATAGTCCAATACACGAAAACATTCCAAGATAAGATGTAAATCTTATACGGTAACCATTTTGATGCATCAGATGCGCATTACGACAAATTATGTCTCTTCACTGTTGGCATTAAATCTTGGTGTTAGAGTCCTGGTGTTGGAGTCCTGAGAGTGGTGTTGGTCTTTGTGGGTGATCTTGGACTCCTGGGGTGCTGTTGATCTCCTAATTAGTGTTCTCTCCTGGATTATGTTGGTCTTCTGAGTGGACAGCTTGGTGCAGCGTTTTAGTTGATTACCCCTACAATGTACAATTTAATATAACAAATATTCGTACAATGAAATATGTTAAAATTGTGTTCAATCTCATAATCTTTTTATTCCAAAATTATCTTTCAGTGAAAATTGACGAAGACTTTAATAAACAATTAATATCTTGCGCTTTTTCCAAATAATGAATAATCAATCCAAGGACAAATTTAATTATTAAAAACGAATTATTAAATAAATACATATATGCAAATATTAGTTAATTTCTTGGCATTGCAAATGATATTTATCAATAAAACTTTAAAATGCAAATTTTTAAAGTGTAATGAGAATGGTTAATGCACTGTATACCATTTGATTTCCATGTGCTAACATTCATCAGTTGCTTAATTTGCTGGAAGCCGTGAGGTGCTGGAATGTACTTCATTAACAAGGTACATCTATATCATTGTTTGGCCGTGAGATTAAATCTATTTCTGCATGATATTTCTT